TCTTGATTGGTCTCAAAATATGGTCTCAACATGAGAGTATACTGTTTATCGTTGGCCTCGAATCGGAGGCTGCCCACTGACTGCGCCACAGTACATTCCACCTCTACCTGCCATTGTCGATTTTTCTCATTCTCAAAAGAATTTTCTGCGAAAACTTTAATGGTAAACAACCCCAGGCAGATTTTCTTTAAGTTATATTAAGTTAAATTTTGTCCCTTTGATCAGATATTGTCAAAATTGAAATTTTATGTAGACATGTCTATTTACAAAAATTGCAGTATGCTCCGTTGATTAGCCTTAAAGGTCTAGCTTAAGATAAACTATGTCAGTTTTGTGTCACCTTCTTGACACATCGATTAACGTTACTGTTACTTAGGGAATGAAATACCAGCCTGAAAGCCAAGCCATGTCTAACCAAGAAGAGAGATTTCAGACTCAAACACTTAAGCTGTCATCTTGTCCTTTTCACTCTTTCGTTCCATGTAAACTTTCATTTGATGGTTAATACCTTTCGACAATGTTTTAAACTGACGTTAACCGATTGAATTTATTTGCGTCTTTATCAAGCGCTTTTCAGAACGCTTTTGATTGGCAAAATATAAAAATGAAGTTATCTTGCAAAGATCCTTGGGTGGGTATCCTAAAATGTTTTGATTTACTAAAAAGACAGGCCAGTTTTTTAATACGTTTGATAAACTTCCACCTGCAGATAAACAATTGTTGCCACAATTACTTGGAACACCCAACACTTTGCGCTGTGCTTTTCTTTTTTCCATTTGTTTTCCCAAATACTACTACTTCTGTCCCTCTTTCCCCCAGAACAATGTATAGAAAAATATCAAACAAGCCGCAAGAAAAAGCATACTCCATAACCCCTTTCTTTTTCTATGGCAAATCAACATCGTTCCTAGGGGGAGAGGGGGATGACTGAAATTGCCTATGAAAACTGACGTTAGTGTTTGAAGACTTTTGACAGTGGCTGAAGATTCAGCCTTAGCTGACAAAAATTAGCAATGGCAATATATGTAAAAGGAATTTGAAATTAAGTTAGTACTGAAATTTCAACTTCAGTTCTATTGGATAACCAATTTGCACAAAATGTTTGTGAAGATGACTCGGAAATCGTCGATTAAAGCTTCAATTGTAATCAATAACTTTACAAAATCTTTTGGTAAGCTAGAATTCTGCAAATTGCATTTAGCAATCTATTACAGCAACATTCTATATAAATATATATTTCTTGGCTCCAAATTGCTATAGATTGCAAACAAAACAAGGTCAGTGCTGTAGTGGAGGGGTAACGCAACATAACACCTCTATGCTTCCTGAAATGTTTAGACTGCAGCGTTATACTACCTAAACAAGCAAACAGTAGAATTATGCTTCTTAAATATCAGTATCATACTAGATATAAGTACAAATAACAAATTTTTAATTAGACCATATAGCAAATAAATCTATTAGGCATTCAATACTTGTCCAAAGCAAGGTTCAAGTGAGTAAACTGGGCATGCTTAGTTCGGAGAACCTTTGCTCGTGATTATACGCAGTACCGTAGGAAAGATGTTTATTGGTAAAAACAGAGAAAAAGATCATATAAGGAGTAAAAAAGTATGGTTACCTAAGTCATCTACTAATATCCGAAAACGAAACAAACAAGAAAATCGACAGAAGAATTGCTGCAGAAGGGCAAAGATTTGGGCAATATGTCGATTCATTAAAAAAAATCAATGCTTTAAATTTGAAGAAAAGAATAACGGATGGAGTCTTAATACTAGAAACAAAAAAAGATAGGAAAACATGGACACTGGGATAAATTGGCAGTGAGACAGAGAAGCTCGGAAAGAGCACTGTTTGACATCATATGCCTGGACAAGTAGACAAATGAAAGCTTAAGATCACCATCCAAATGGTTTGACGTTGTAGAAAATTCAGGAAAATATGAGTGGCGAATGGGCAAGTCATGTAGCCGAATGGACACAAAAAAGTGGACAGAGAAGATACCAATTTCAGCAAAGAGGATGCGAAAGGCTTAACAAGGGACGGAAAGATTATCTGCGGAACATCGCATATATCACTAGGATGAGATGCATGAAGTCTAACGCAAACAGTTTAATGTTCAATGCAGGAATGTTTTAAAACGCACAAAAGTATGATATTTTTCTGAAAAGCGCTAATGAAACGCTGTTTTTGTTTTTTGACCTTGCGTCATACCTTCTACGAATTTACGAACACCACTAAACAAGGTGCGAGAATTTGAGAAATTAAGAAAAAATGGCACTATGAATTGATGGAATGGAAAAATTCTTTGGCTTGCACCCGAACTCTCTAATTGCACAATGTTAGGAAAATATTAATTATTTGAAGTCATTAGGTTTAATGAGTCTGGATTTTACCACTGGAGGCGATCTTATCTTGCCGATTGCCGATTTAAAATTGATTTTAACGTATCTGAAGTTTTAAGACTGAAAATACGGGAGTGGGCTTAGTTATGAGCTGTGGTCGATTACATCCATTGGTGAATTGTTTTCTGCAAAAGATTTATTCATTTTTAAAAAGATTGAGATAGGGTAACCAAGGACAGAAGATCATCACGGAGAATACCTAGCAACAAAAGCACTGACAACGCAGCTTTCGAATTTAAGATTTTTGAGGCTCAAAACAAACTTGGACCCTATTAAACCATGCAAATTGGTTCTGGACAAGAATTCCGCAAGTCTTTTAACAAAGAGTGCTTTGAACAATCAGCTGGGTAGTAACTCTCTCAACAAAACGTATGCATCATCAACTGAGATGAAAGCCTAAAGAGGCTGTAAAAATCTAGTATTTAAAAATATCTAGTATCAATTACGTGTAAATGATTTATGCATTAATGAGAATGGCTTGATATGCTTATGTTTCTATCTAAAATTTAACTGGTTCATGAAATTATTGATAGAAAACTACACAGAACATTGAAGACATCATAAACAAGGTTGTCTTCATTGGCCATTATTTTAGAATGGAGCAGTGTTTTTTGGGTAGTTTTAAATATTGCGAAGAATACCAAATCCTATAAAATCAAATCTACCATCAGCTTCGAGGTAGCCTCGAACGTGTTTCTGTGCAAAACAAACATAAAGAACTTGTTTTCTGAATCTAACAAGAATTCTACAGGAAGCAATAATTCTTGCGCAAGAGGTATTTGACGAGGAAAGTGCTGCACAAACCGCGTGTTTATGTCATAATACAGATGCTGCAAGCTCTATGTACGACATTGGCACAAATTGTACCTTGAGGCTTTCGTTTCTAGCCAAGCTATTTTGAAATTCTAAAATCATTTTAGGGAGTAACTCTTCATAGAATTTACAAAAGAAGCCCAATTTCATCATATTGCTTGTTCAAACTATATACATTTGTATCAAAATTTGACGAACGCTGAGTGTAACAAATTTGCTGGTACAGCAGACTATGTGCCTTGTGCCTTGGAATTCACTAGACAAACTCTATGTACATTCTATTGGTTAACATAACGGCATTCAAAAATCTTACTAACCTTTTTTGGTATTGATAAAGATTCTCCATGTCTTGACATATAAAAAATACTTTGCTTAAAAACTTGTTCTTTTCGCCTGTTTTTCCATTTAGTGACTGCAGCAAAGCTTGATATAGATTCAACAGAAACATAAACAAGGACAGTCGCTTTTTGCAACAAAATTCATTTTACACGTAGAATGGCCTAGGCAACGTGAATGACTGCATGGCCTAAAATAATAAGAATTGGAAAAACCTAAAGGACCCCTTCTCATGTTCTCCGGAATGCACGGTTTCTTTTTACACGAGGAAATACTCATTCCAACAAAAACTATTCTATTGGTATTTGCAAAAGAGCTCCGATACCTGTGCTTTTCATCCAATCCCCATTTGGCAAAAAATGAATTGCAGAAAGATAACTGCTGCCAGTAACATAAACAGTAGGATGTCCATTGGGATCATTATTATTATGTATCTTAAGTTTGGATTGGTCCGTAAATTGAATATGTCCATTGTTTTTGTGTGCCCGATTGTTAAAGGTGTCCAATATTAGACGCTGTCCGTTAATTGGTGGTTACTTGTTTTGGGCGCTGACCAGAGAAAAAAGCTTGAACCGAAATAGTTTTCATTAGTTTCAATGTACTTTCTGTTTGAATGTTTCCTTAATTTGGAGGTGTTAATAAGGAATCACAACATTGCTTGCAATTTCTTTAGATTAAAAATTTGCATTGCATTCTACCTGAAAATCATCAAATCAGGAAACAAGAAAACTGGATCTTAAATTTACCAGCATATACATTTATTATTCATTGTAAAAACAAACGTACTATAAGATTTTGAAATTTACAATGCTTAAATCAAAATTTGAGAGTGAAATGAAAAACATAGAATACCTGGTCGCATACTTCTACCAAATTTTGCCTTGAAAGATAAATTTTAATGAACCTAATTTTACTTCTCTAATGAGGTGTAAAATCATTAATGACAAGAATTCACAATAAAATGCTACACGAGACCTTTTCTAAAGCTGTGGATAACGCAACTAAAACGGAACTTGAATTCGATGATTGTTGAGTTGGAGGTTTCTTTTTGGCCTTTGTGAATTCTTTGAGATTTCTTTGAGTTTATAACTTCCCGCAATTTACTTTAAGATACTAATTAATCAAGTTGTAACTCTTTTGTGTATTTCTCAACCTATGAGAAAGGTAGAAAGTCTAGGCTTGTAGTGTTTGAAGAAACAGTAGACTTTAAGGAATCCAAATAGATGTTATATTGAAAAAAGGATCAGCAAGTTGCTGCTTTTCCAACGTTAGTTTTGTTAATGAAAGATACGTTTAGAGAAAATCAAGAGAATGCGAGGGAAGATATTTTTATTTGTTTTCCCGTTTTTAGAAAAATGTGTTGCTTTACGTACTCTTGAACTCTCTCTATTAAGCTATACTTGTCTACTTGCATTCCATGTAAATACAGGCTTTAAAAAATGTTTAGACCCGTTTTGAAACATTTTTGGACCGTGCGTTTCTACCGGCCGTGGGCAGACAATTTTGAAAAGACCATGATGAGATCTGGTACCACTTCTCCCTCAGTCCATACACTCTTTTTTTTATAAGAACAATTTTATAAGGACACGAGCATCAAAACTGGTCAAAAGTTAAGAATAAATTAAGAACAAGCTGAGGCTGAGCTTCTGCAAATTGCAATTTTGAACAACGTTTTTTCTCAAAATCAAGGATTGTTAGCGATGTGTGGGTGCTTTTTCGGTGAATATTCAAATTTGTCAGAAATTAAGGCTGTCTCACTCACTTTGTTGGCAAATGAGGCCTGAACACCTCCTTAAAGCGAAAAAGCTAGCAATAGCACTGCTTACACCTTCTTAACTGAAGAACAAATTAAGAACAATCCAGCCTCAGATTTTCGAAAAAATTAAGAACAGTCAGCCTGAACTTAAATTTACTGGTTCTTATAAAAGAGAGTGTATATCCACTAGTTAAACACATATGCTTCAAACAATGAGTGGAAAAGTAATTCGGATTTTGAATTATTGATGCATGCTAACAAGCCTGTGTCTTGGTTTTGTCTCAAACATTGCGCTTAGGATTGCTGCATCACTAGAATTAATTCGAAAGCATACACTTCAAACTTGATACTCACATTACGAATATACACTCATTTTTCTTATAAGAAACTGGCTATAAGAAACGAGTACTGGACAGTCAGAAAAAAATTAAGAAACTTCAGTACTCGAAGAAAAAAAATTAAGAAACTATTAAATCGTGATAAAACTGAGAACAACGAAATTTTGTAAAATCCAAGAACATGATTGCCCTGATGGCCTAGAAATTAAGACACAAGGGATAAAAATATACTTTCCACATCTAAATACAGCATCAGAACAAAAGCGAATCTCTTGACATGAAAAAAAGATCACGAACATTTCATAACATCATTCATGACATTGTAATTAAGAAACTCATAATTAAGAAATTTCTAGAGTACTCAACATCGATCTTGGGTTCTTATGAAAAAATGAGTGTAGATGAGACACAAAGAAGACTAAGTAGTTAAATTTTCTGTGCAAAAATGGTGACGAAATGAAATCCGTAACAAAGTTTCCAAATGACGAACAAAGCATGTCTTTACAATTTTTGAATTTGGACTAAATATTCTAACAGTTTCCGAGTTGTTGCCTTTTCCAAATTTCAATAGTTTCTTTTTTGTCCAAGTTCTGAATATCAAAAGTTTCTTAAGCCAAGCATTCGTTTCTTGTAAATAGGTTTTTCCATAAAAAATTGTTATATTTCGAGCAGACCAAACGTAGCATTTAGTAGCAATAATTTTCAACATCCCTGCTTTGATGAAAAAAGATGAAAGAACAATTTGAAGAGTACAATTTCCAAAGCTGTTTGCTCCCTGTAGTTAGCCGCCTTTGATAATTAGTGGTCAACTTGTTGACGAAAGTTTGTCAGCAGAGCTAGGCCAATGTGTCACGGAAACACTACATCTTTGTCACTGATTTCCGAGGCTAATTGTTACAAATGACTTTAATTAGGACGCTTAAGGAGTCTTAGCATGGCCAGTACATCCCCGTTTGTTAAATCAATTAATTTCGTTAATGTATCCTTTAAAATATCCGGTCTCCGGATTACTTTTCTGCCCATTCTGTCAAACGTAACTCGACATATTCTGTCATAGTGTATTGTTTACAGTTACTTAATAATGGGAAGTTATCAATACAGACTTGTTGCAAATTCTTCAAATCATCTATCTTATTAAAGCTTTCTTCTTCCGCGACCTATTTATTAGTTTATCATTTGCAACATTTTGAAATCCGAAACAGATCTTTAACGTTGCGGCAAAGTTTCAGCTTTGCAACCAACTAAAATGAATTTTGTATCGTTATTGGTGCAATCTATGTCGCAATGTGTGTGGCTCTTGAAAATTTCAAACATTCAAATCGATATTGTAGGAATTGCATTGTACCGAATCCAGAATAAACTTGAAGGAGGGGCAGTTGGTAGTAGGGGCACTGAAAAATTTTCAAAAATTGATGACGAGAGAACGCTGTATACAACAATTTCAGATCCATTTTCGGAATAAACAACAGAACTTTGAAGTAATCATTGAAGCAAATTAACCTATTGGTCTCAGAAACTTTTTCAACTGATTCTTATTCTTCTAAAGGGGCGCACAATTTCCAAAAAAGGGGCGCCATACTTGCTTCAACTCGTCGAGGGAGGGGCAACTGCTCCTAGTGTCCCCCCTTAAATCCGCCACTGCATTGTACAGAAAACACTAGACAATGGCTGGGCTGTTTTCTGTATAATATAATATAGTCAAATATAAACTACTTCAAAAGATTAACTTCAATAATTTTTGTGGATAGTTATTCATACATTTGAAGAACTTCAGTGTACAAGACAGATTGTAATCTTAGCTCATTAGCTGTGAGGTGCCAAAATAAAAATTAGAGTTTGGCGTAGGAAAACTAGCAACAGAGGATGAAAACCTATAAATCATGGTAATTCGACGTCAACAACTAAACAAGAGCTCAATGTAGGGAACTGCCTACGGGTAAACTGACTGATTACATATTTTGTCATGCCGCCAACATCTCTGAGACGAAGTGCAAAAATCGGACAACATTTAAAGGAAACTCTTGATGGAAAATCAAGCAGAAATGATACTTTAAAAAACTATCTAGCTGCATTTGTGCAGTTGACGTATATCTAATACTGTACATATTTAAACAACTGGCGGTACGTAGGAAGAAGGAGAATTTGGGCAAAGTGGATTACCCCTAGGCTAATCTAAATGCTTCTGTTCGCCTCTGGTGCTGTTAATTGTTTCGCCTAACCTCATAAGTTGTTAATTGCACGTAATGAAAGTCAATGCTTTATACTACAAGACAAATCCAAGACGTTATGCTACAGACGTTTCTAACAAACACAGTAGAGTCAGTCTTGGAAGATGTCGTTAAACAAAGAAACAACACGATAATATCGATAATATCGAGTCCCTTACATGTGTTCCATAGATGTTGTTTACATTGTGTTCTTCCATTTAGCAAATACATTGTGCATCTTCACAGCATTGACTGCATTCTTAAAACGCTACTTATCTTTTTCGCATACGATATGAAGTTTTTCTATATAACTTCTATTTGCCAAATATTGGGTGTAGCTTTCAAACTGTTTGCTTTGCAGAGGGCCCTGTCATTTATGGTTCGATAAATCCCTTTAGTAATGTCCATAGACATTTAAGAATGTTGTGCCTTGTCAAAATTATTAAAGCCGAAGATTCAGTTTGGAAAACAGAGCTGGCTAATGTGCCCCGGGTCCTAGACAACTATAATCAAAATTGGATCTGTCATAAGGAAACTTGTATTGAACAAACGACGACCGATCACAAACAAAAGTTGGATGTAACTACAAGTGCAGAGAGACTCGTGTTGAAGAGTGAAAAACGGTAAACTTGCCAATACCCTAAATGCCTAGTGAACTGAACTACTTTCCTACCTCTACGATCACAGATATGCTGTTAAATATTTATAGAATTAATTGTGAATATAAAAGATCACACAGACTGTATTATTTTAATGGCAGACAAGGGTTTACATTAGAGCACTGCTTACTTTTTCATAGATTAGCACAAGCCAATTAGCCTGAGAACAAAATGATAATGATGTGTCCAAAAAGATTAGATGTAATCCTCCGTTTTGGATGAAATGTGGTCTACATCTAGTCTGAATACTACGCACTTTCTTTGAGCAAAACCTTTAATCCCATCTTGTTCTTTATTACGTGCAGAGCAGTAAGCGGTTTTCGGGTGAAAAGCACATTTTTGCTGCTGGAGACTGCAAAAGTTTCATTAGTAAAAGTTAACACTGGACAACGATACAATAATTGCTGATAATTTTCACATTTGAAAAAATTCATTTTGCGGGTTCTTAAGCACATCTATTAACCTGTCCCAACTGGTGATTAACAATGATTTTGGAGATTGCTAGCCACTCACATCGTTATCCTTTGAAATGAAAAATATAACTCAGTTGTTTTGTTCACTTCATTCAGAAATAACCCTCCTCACTAAAGCAACAATATCATAATTTTCTTTTACCAGATGAAAGTTTATGGCTTTCAATATATAGGAAATAGTTGTACACTCTTGAAGAATAAAGTACAAAAGACATTCCAAATATACTTTGCTTGTTCAATAAACTTAAAATGAGGCAATTAAGAAGCACAGGCGCCGTCGAATGAAATATCCCGTTGAAACTATGCGGTCCTTTTAATGGTGGTTGGTGCTTTAAAGTTGTCACAAAATTTCACTAATTGATAATTATTTCGTTCCAAAATCAAACTTGCGCTTAATGATTTTGTGAATATCAGAATCTGCGTATCTTGCAAAACATTGTTGGGGAGGAGTATTGGAGGGAAAAAAGAGGGACACGGAGGGGAGCGCTGGAGAGAAAGGAATAAGATAGGCCTCTTCTTTGTAATGCCCTCCTACCTATCTTTTTCAAAAACGCAGAAGATGGCATCTATCAACAGCACGTGTTCATCAGCAAGGAATACTTGTTGCACTTTTGTCTGTAAATTTGTTTAAAGTTCAATTGTTTTTATTTTCCGTTATTCAAGGAGAAAAGTGACACAAGCTTCCGATCTTAGTTTTGATTATTCAGTAGGGAAGATTGCTGTATAAAATATATGAGCGGGTAATGACGAATGACGGCAAGTGATGTCTGCAAACCATCTAATTAAGAGCTTGTGATGAAAAGGTAAATGCAAATGTCGTATCAAAAACCAAAATGATAACATTGCATGGAAAATTCTATAAAGTATTGTCACTCTGCAAATATTTTCCTTTTGCATTCACAGCAATAGGATTTTTTCAAGCTGAAGAGTTTTAATTTTAAGAAGCATCAATATAGGACAAGTAGCATTTTTACCAATAGCAACTGTAATTCAGAAATAGCAAGTAGAAAATAAAAAATTACGGGAGTATCTTCTTAAAGGGACAGTAGCAATAACAAAGTGAAGATTTGATAATTCTACATTATAATTTGACTACGTTTACTTCTAATTTTTTCCTAAACTCTTACTAAAAAGAGCATAAGAGCAACTCAGTTCAATTAGAGGCTGATGCTCCTTACATGGTACAATTTTATTCTTCGACATTAACTTTCAAATATTATGACACGTCATTAATTTTCATCACGTGGCGAAGTGAATTCGAGATAAACATCCATGTCAAGAATTCACGATACAGTTGCTTTACTGAACATTTCAACTCAACTGCTTTACTTAAAGACAGTTCTTAACTTCTTCAAAATACCATAGCTATATGTTTAATAAAAATTTATTCGAAAAAGATTTTAGTAGTTAAAATATAACTGTTGTTACCAAAACAGGATTTAATCAATGTAATATTACTAAGAGAGTTATTCTCGGAAATGTTTATTATCATACAACTTACCGAGTCTGATGATTCAAACTGAGTCCACAGAAGATGGGGCAGACTCTGCATTCCGCCTTTTGACTCTTGTCTTAGGAGACATGTATGAATAAGAACCCATTGGATCATGTTTTACTTGAATTTTATATGAGTATCTGAAAAGTCTTGTTTCCATACGAACTCTTGGGCATAACTTGTACTCAGTGTGCAATTATCAGAACACGTAAAAATTACCAATGTGCCAAAATCAATACCGCCACACAAAGAATCAACATCTAGATGATTTAATAATTGCGGCAGAACCTGAAAAGGTGTATTCAAAAATGCAAAAATCAAACTCAAATGACAGAATACTTAATCAAAATAAAGAACAGCGCTGTCTTACTGGATCATGATATTACGGCCAGTAAAGGTCTACTGGCGGTTGGGGCGTGAAGTTACAACGAATTTATTTTCTCTTACCATCTCTAGTATAAATAAATTCAAATTTCTACTAAAGTCTCGTGTTATTTCACGAGGTTCTACAGCAGCGTTCATCAAAGAATCTAGATTGAGCTAGGCCAAAGACAAAGTGTACAAGCAATATGGGTATTATAGAGATCACCTCTCCATCAGCTAGACTAAACTGCTGCATTTCTAACTAAACTGCTTAAACTCAACTGCAGATACTCAGCTATTTTTACTATCGGGGATATACAAAGTACATTGGCATGGCATCGCGTGTTAATACAAGATAACATGATTTGGGTCGGTACAGTTATAACATCAGTGCAATTGTTTGCACACTGTATAATTGCATATGACAATGAGGTGCCAGTTACACTAAACCGGATTGCTATCGGAGCGGAGTAACTTTCATATCGGATAGGGGTTTGAGTTACACTATGCCACACCAATCCGGGACACAACGCTCTGATTAGCGGAGTGAAAATCACTCCGCTCTGGAGATGATACGAAAGTCACTCCGTAGCGGAGGATTGTAGTGTAATCGCACGAATCCGATATGCTCCACTTTGAAACAAAGGATTTTCTTATTGTTTTCTGCTTAAAGCAATTCAATCGATAGTGAACAATGGCGCTTTCTGAGATTTTGTTGCTGTTGGATAATGCCAAATCGAAATCGTGAAAACATTTCGTATTTGGATTTCAACTCTTCCCGAATTTTAATGAAGTGGCCCTTGGAAGAAAAACATACTTTAACACATCAGATAGGAACATAATCTCGCTATCCGTCCTCCAAATCCCATCATTTATCTCTCAGTTTCATGGTTGTTTTCGTCATTTTATGCATAGCTATTGAAAACGAATTCGCAACGGCACATAGATTGAAAAATATCATCAAAAAATTTAATCTGGTTGATTTTGTGTACCAATCCGGTATAGTGTAACTCTAGCCTTTAGCTCATTTATCACGCAGGAACTGAACTTACCTTTTTCTAACATAATAGATATATGCCTTTTATCTCATAAAGACAACAAAAATTCCTACCTGAAATTCAAAGACTCTTGACGCTCCACACGAGCATTTTGGGATATCAGACGATTTTGCTTGATGCTCACTGGCCACCCATAGAGGATCACCACCATACTGGTAACGTAAAACCTTTAAGGTAAAAAAAACACTATCATAGACCCTTTTTAGCTACATGAGACCTGGACGATACGGGATCCAAAAGCCCAACCGTTTACAAAGTGCCAAGATCGGATACACCAGAATCGGCTACGAAGTGTTCAGATAGCGAATCTAAAAATAAACCGTACTCCTTTTGGATCACAATCAATGCACTATCAGTACATCTTTTGGATCTGATACGGAAAGGATCGACTCCCATTCAAGCAAGGTCATAGACACTCTACAAATATAACCACAAAAGCTGTCTCTCACTCTTGTTCATTTTGGTTTCTAAATTTATAAAATCCAGCTTCGTGTGTCAAGCTGAAATATATCTAGGTGAGCTGGATTTTCCGACATTGCCGGCATTGAGTATTTAAAATTCAGAAATTTAGAGAACGTGCGTAACATTGTTAAATCAAATCTGTTCAACCAAATACACAAATTAGCATTCTTATTTTATAAAATAAAATCAATTCTGAATTCATTTCGACGTTAATGCCATTAATGAAAGGATAATTACAAAATGGATTTAAAATTGCATAAAAGAACGAACAGTAACCCGCTCGGCCTCTCCAACTGATTTACATTTCCAAGAACCATTCAACATATAAGCTTCTTAATCCTTCTGATTGGATTCATGTCAAAAACACAGTGAAAAAACCACTGAAGAGAGACAGTTGAGGACAGTAGTTAGCTGTTTAAGATGGGCGTGCCTGTTTCTAAATTAGTGTTAATATTTTGGGATCCTGTGTTTTATTAACATAATTATTCAAAGAGAGACATTGTGGTGTTTGCAGTTTCCTTGGCAAATACAACACGCGTCCATTCCTAAACTCTGTGGATATTTTGCAATGGAATTCAATTGTAAACAACATGCAATGTTGTCTATAAATGACATCTTACATCTGGCGTTTTCAGCTAGTCAGAGACATAAGTAAGATGACATAATTGCCCTGATATAAACATTATGATGGAAAATCCAAGATCTTCTTTTAAGCTTATCTGAGTTAAGGCCTGCGACATGACAGCCCAATTAACTAAAGGCAGACCATCCATACATTCAAGTTGGATTATCCAGCGTAAGCCATCCCGATATTTCTTTCATTTGATGCATACTAGGTCGGTAAAAGCACCCTCGCGGAGAAATTGGGCCTATTTTTGTAAATGTGGTTTGTAAGAAGTCTATGATTTTCCGGATAAAAATGTAGTTCTGACTTGTGGATGTAAGATCAAAAATGCCACAGATTAATAACTGAAAATATTATTGCTGTGTTCTGAGGTCGATGAATCCCAAGCTCATCAGAGTGATGACTTCTACCACAAAAAACCCTCTAGCCTCTGGTACTACAAAACCTCAGGAAAAGTAGAGACATAGTATAGCAAAGTACTTTTCGTCCGTCATTTCTCAGAATATAAAACGTCCGATAAATATAACCAACAACAATACATAAATTTTCGGTCCCAAAACTTGAATTTCCCATTTTATGTTTGCCTCCGTAGCACGCATCGACACCCTCTTATTTGTACCGTGCAACTATTTGGCCGGTCATAACCGTTTACACTAGGCCGCTCGCCAATTCAGCCAGCCATGTTTCAAAAAGGACGCTTTCCTAGGTGGCTGAATATTTGCACGCCTAAGTGACCTAATTTGAGGTCCTTTAGCCGGCCCCGTGCAAACGCAAGGCCTAAGTGACCAAATAAATATTTTTCTTTACCTGGTCTGGATCTTTGCTTATATCCTTTTTGAATTTTTCAAATTGCTTGTCACTGACTTCAGCAAATGCTTCTTCTGCTAGTTGTTCGTTCTTGTTATCTTTATAGGCATTTGTATTTGGTTCTTCTAATGGGGTTTGGCAGTCATCATCTTCGTCGCGAACTTCAGGCTCGGTGACAATTTCATATTCGGGCAGTAAGAGTTTCGTCGGTAAATCCGGTGTGACATCTGGAGGAAAATTAAAGGACATCAGGTACTTTTTAAAGAATTTATTAATGTGCCTCTTCTATAACTAAAATAGTGATATTTCTTTAGTTAAAATTTGTATTAGAGCCGTGAGTAGCAAAATCAAGAAATGCAGCCCTCCTTAAGAACTATTTGTAGGGTTTGTTTAAGGCGCTCTCTGATAGAAATGTTAGAGAAAGGGACTACTTCTATTTCATTAAGTGGCTTCAGCATCTGAGTCCGTGATTATGCTTTCTTGAAACATGAAACGGTGATAAAGGACCATGGGAACAACATTCTTCTCATACCTTCTGAAGATGTTTTAGATACCTCTTTACAGTTGCATATATACGCACACCGTTATGCTATCAGTGGTCTAGCCCAGAATGGTCAATGGTCGTCTAGCCCAGGAAGAGATCAAAGGGGATGCCACGGAATTACTCTATATCTGCAAACATGAACTGAGAGATGTGAGCCCGAGAGATGTACTGAGAGATAGGTTCATTTCCATATTGGTGAGGCAATCCACTTAGAATGCTGTTAGTCTTTACAAAAATAGTACTGAAGTTGCAAGAATTTGATTTTTAAAACTTTTCTGAAACTCTATTGCTCTGCCTTTTTAGCAAACCCTACCATTATGCCAGCAATGTCCTCGAATCAAGCTCAAAATGACTGAATGCCTTAAAAGACAAAATATAACTTTTGTTGTCACAATACTAGCAATGTGATTCGCTAAGCTTACCATTTCTGTAGAAAATTGCATTTGGAATACAACAGCAACTAAAGCCAGAAATAGTATTGTCAAAGTGCACAACCATATCTCCCTAAAAATTGTGCTTGGTGTGTGAAATCAGAAAAGGGGAAATAGAGCCTATTGATGGATTATGGGATGATGAGGAAACAGTGGGAAGATTTGTTACCTGGGTGGCAGGTTGAGTGCCAGCAGAGGATGTGAAGATGAGTGACAGCAAGAACAAGACGTGGGTAGGAAATATTCAGATATTGTAGTGAATTGCTTCTTGGAAGAAGGTTTTCTCTAAAGATGATAGGAAGGATCTGTAAGACCGGACAAACTGATGGAGATTTTGGGCTTGAAAGAAATGGTGGATAAGCTAGCAAAAGCAATTGGAGTGCGATGGTATGGACATGTCCTGAGAAGACAAGATGATAATGTTCTAAGAAAGGCACTAATTCTTGAAGTTGATGGTCTGAGAATAAGAGGTAGACCAAGAAAGGGGGCCTCATAAGATAATGAATTCCATTTTAAGAATGGAATTAATGAAATGTAGCAAAAGTATGCCTAAAAATAATAAAACGCTCTAAACGATTGCAAGAAATGACTGCAAGAAATATTCTGAAATGCATTTTAAGATAATCGAAAGTGCTCGCGAAAAATTCCCCTTCATTCTGCTTGAAGGGTCTTTTGGTTTCCCTTAAGGCCTCTGTAATCTCTCGGCGGCCTAAGTGAAAGTGTTTAGCGACAACCCTGAATGAAGAAATATGACTTACAGAAAAGATACTCAACATTGAGTGAAATAGCCCAAATGAGAGAAAATAATTGCTTCAGGGTATTAAAAAAATCTGGTCACCTGCTTTAAAATGGACAAAATAGGATCAAAACTTGATTGACGACGAATAAACAGGGGAGAGAGTCCCTTTAATTTTCCATCTCGGGGTATGTCCTTATTTGATAACAATTGAAAAATATCCTACTTTGCCAATACTCAGGTGTCCAAAATTGTTAACTGTAATTATGCAAGGTAAAGTTTATTATTTTGGTTTGGCATAACATTTCATCATAAAGCAAAATACAAAGCTATAGAAAGATGTGAAATAAGAACTTCTGGGATGGATGATAGCCACAATGACTTCAGGGACCACGCACCACTCTAAAATTGGAGGGGCTGAAATGGGTGTGACCAAAAATTTTTTAAGCCACGCCCTCTTAAATGCCGGAAAGGCCCCTTTTAGAAAATACTTGCTTATTTCTATTGAATTTTTTATAAACAGTCTGGTTCAAAGAAGTTATCAATAACTATAAAATAGATAATAGAATTAGCTCAAGGGTAATAAAAACCAAACTAACCAAGTTAGAAAACACATCATATTATTAAACAAGATGAAACACCTAGAAAAAGAACAAAAATGGTTCCCAGTCAATGAGAACTGCTACTAGATAGGAGTAAACGATCAAAAGTTGCGTTAGAGTGAACTTTCATAAACATTTTCTAGATTATTATTGCAAAAAAGTGGGTGGGCTATAGCCCCTGATAGCCCAATGGCTGCACGGTGCCTGAATGATTTTCAATAAAGCATCAAAATTTTTTTATAAAGAGACCACTGATAGAATAAAATATTTCGGGATGTCATAAATGCCACCCAGACTGGAAACTTTGTTTCTTGTGCAGATAAGTTTACTTTGAAAATTTGAGAGTGTGCACCCAAAATCATACATTCTTAGCTATTTTTAGAGTTAAAAATGGTAAATGTTATTGTCTAGGGACCAAAATATGGGACATTACATTGCAAGCAAGAGATGCAGCAGATGACCCATGATCAAGAACAGGTGAAGCTGGGTTTAGCTTTAAATGATTTGTCTAGAAATAACAGTTATTGAGTTAAGGTACCAAGGAGAAATCCCAAGAGATTCAGGTGAACAAAAGTTGCTGCATACAAGGTAATCTTTGGTGCTTTTATCTCATTTGAAGGCCATCAAAGGTAGAGCTTTGATAGTTTCTTTGTTATTGAGTCCTGATGTAGAATACAGATGTTTTTATATCTCATTTCTTTTTTGTTTGTTGAGTGGATGGCAGGTGAGCATAACAGAAATGCTGTTATCAGCAATTGAACATGTTTTTAGGTATGCATTCATCTGACTTTCTTCTGCTAAATACAATACCTTCTAATGTAGAGTCAAATGGCCTCTAGCATACTGCCTACAAACTCATACATGGATCTTACAAGTATGTAGCAGAAGTAGCATACAAATTAGGTAAATATATATAGTCCCTGCAATCTAAGATTTCCATTGCTTTCTGAATATGCTTTTATAATTCTATTCAAATATAATTTTTGTGATTGTGGAATTTTTTCATCGGGGTTCTTTTTCGCCAGATGCCCTAGAGGGCTGTTTTGCCACCATTGTGATCCATGGGAAAATTCTAATTTCCTCTATGACATGGACTTAGACCTTAACAAGAAAGACTTTGTAGAAAGATTTTGAAAAGTTGTGAAATAAAAATACTTCATTCTGTCAAAGAAATAAAAAAGGTTCATGTGCATACCGGTATGCCTGCATTCTTGCCAGAGATCCTTGCATAACAGACATTAATTCTATCCTGAATTCAGTAGCATAGCCAGGGATGTAAAATTTGGGGGGGGGGGCAAAGGCGAGAAGAGCAAGGGAAAATTGGGGATCCCCTTTTTTTGAACACCCTTACTTGTAAAAATTGTACATAAAAAAATAACAACTAGGCCTAATCAAATTAAAAAATAGCCTACCTGATTCATTTGACTTCTGGACTGAACATTTAAGTTTATGCCCATTTTTCCAGTGATTGACTTGATGCTCTTTGCTACAGTAAGTTGCAATTTTGCAAGCAGCGCATCTTTTATCGCCTCGATATCCACATACATGGCATAATGGTCCCCATTTCTTTCTAAGCTCTTCCTCCAATTCTATCACCCGGTGACTTTCAAGGTCGTTTGCCAATGGTTCGTAGCTAAAAAAATCATTCTTTCGTGGAAGCTGGCAGCGAAAAGACTTGAAAGAAACATTCGAATTCTTTGAATAACAATCGCCATTTCGACAAATGAATACATAAATTGTCCTGTGAAAACACTCCTCTTTCTCCTCACGTGGTGCGTACACCTGTAGCAGAAACAACATGAGTTTCCCGCATTTACAACAAGTCAAGTTTTCTAAAGATGGAATTGTGTTTTGCGAAAGCCATGCAGGTTTGCCTCCAACTTTACTTGGGAAGAATATGCTTTTAAGTTTGAACCAATCGACTTTCTCGACAAACCCTAGTTCGGTGTTGCTATCGCACTGACCTGCCATTTTGAAATTGTAGCATGAAATTGAGGCAGCATTCTACTCGCTGTTACTCAAGACTCATTCCTGGGTCTTTTGTTTTCCATCGGTAGTCGATAGTTTAACTCTTCCCACAAAAGTCCTAACACTTAGCAACGATTTCCTGAATTTTTTCAATGAAGTTGCAAGGTGAAACAGAAAAGGTTAAGTTTAAAGACATATGAAAACTTAAGAAATGGAAATAAAATCAAAAGGAACTCATTCCACATGCCTACTTTGTTGGGCAAAATTGTCAGGATTAACCTCCAAGGCAAACAAATATATTGCAACATCATTCTACATAAATACTGCTGCTGCAAATCTAGTTGTTGTTCTTTTTTTGAAGCAGAACATCCCAAAAACTTCGTAGTTTTACAGAAGGCTGATGCGTAAATCCTCTTATAGCAGAGAAGACATCAACATTCAACTTGGGCTTTAAGGTCAAGCAAAATTCATTTTAAATGGTAAAGAAGAAACTATTTAAATGCGTAGCTTGTGTGCGTAGCTTGAAATGAATCAAATCCCATTCAGCAAAAAGCAAACAAAATACTGTTTTCGGCCATTGAGTTTTCGGGCAGCTACTCATTTGAAACACTTAACAATCATTACTACATTAATCGTGATAATGACAGCCAAAGGAATCATGTCTCATCTTTGAAAAACCATTAGGTAGGTATGGTTACTAAAATTATTTCTATTGTGGCTTTGCATTTATTTTTTAGACAGTTATGTTAGAGAAAGACCAGGAAGCCTATAGCAAAGCATTAACAAGGGAAAGAAGGAAGGGATTTGGAAGAGAGGCAGGAAAGATCAGCATTGGTGATTTTAGTTTTGGATGAAGTCAGATTATAATTATCCGGTGAGCAGGAAGGCTGTAGAGTGTTCAAAAGCTTACAAGATCTGGGTTGAAAGGATGGGTTGCGAGACAGTTCATGAATTTAGCAAAGAGACTTGAAAATTGTGAGCATTGGAAAAGTATCTGGTATTACGTACATGGCTCAAAAAAACCAAGGATCATATCTCTTATCCTCTGAGTGTAATCTCCAAAGTAAAATCTAAAAATAGTGAGAGGTTGGTGACACCGCATCGACGAGAAAGAGGTTGATGGGACTTTGCGAGGTTGTAGTTGTTGATGAGGTAAATGGGTTTGGATTGGCGTTTGTCTAGGAGGCACAGGGAAGATCTAGGAACACCAACCAAAATATGAGAGCGAAACTCCAAGGAAGGACGGATTTAGGACTTATAAATTGTCAAGACTTGTGATAAGGAGAAGAATCCACGTGTTCTAGAGAAGAACTCAAGTTTTGAGATAAATGTTTAGCAATAAAAGTAATGTGAGATTACAGGAAGGCCGAATTGTGAAAAAGACGTAATAATAATAATGATGATAAATAAAGTGACGTTTTAACCAATTCCCTTAATCTGATTCACGGACTGCTTGAAAATTAGATAATATTATAAACAAATTCAAAGGCAGAGAGATTACCAAGAAAAGGGTAATATTGGAAAGGCAATAGCATGTGACATTGATATGCTGTTGCGCAGAACAACAAAGCTTGAATGATATGACAACTTGTGTCGCAATGGTAATTGAATGGATTGCGAAACGTTTTTGTAAGGGGTGTTACACGCCGCAACTTTTTCTGCAACTTGCAACGATTGAGGCCGCACAATTGTCTTTGGAGCCATTTTTTGTAATGAGGGCCTTTAACTGCGCCTGTGAAAATGGTGTAAATCGGCTGTATACATCGCTTTGTATCATAGTAAAAGTGTTCATACTTTTCAATCTTCCTCACGACCCAAGCCTGGGCTTCTTTTCATACCAAATAGATAGAAATGCGGTGTTACAAATTAAGGCAAAATCATCAAAAAAAATTTAGCAATGTGGCAATTAAATATTCATCAACTTTTGAGCCCCTCTCTCTCCGATATTCATTTTTCAAACTGTTACCCATTAATTTTCAAAACTTTCACAGTACCACGAGCGTTTTAAGACAAAAGCGTCGCTAACATTACTAAAGTCAATCTTTTAAGTAACACCACTTTAAATACTCGGCACAGGCATATCATTGCGTCATCCCCGGGTCATTTTAAATTACATTTTTCCTTGTTATTTTGGTGAACCTCCTTTGCTAGCCTGAGTTCAAGATCGTCGAAAGTTGCTTTAAACAGAAACAACACAGAAATAAATTTAAACATTTCAATATCTAATTACGGGTCTTTTAGGGCTCTCAAAGGAGAAAGCCGTAAGTGGAATGATACATTATCGTTGAATAAATGCACCTCAGTTCAGGGGTGCCGTCCTAAAAAGTTAGGAAGGGGGGCTGGGCTGTAGGCAAGTTCAAAGGCCACACCCACGACCATACCCTTACCACACCCAATTACTTGCTTTTGTGTTAAGGACTCTCTGTTGTTTCTAGAAATCATTCAAACTATGTAATGACACAAAAACGCTGATAAGAAATTGTTCATTCATGAGAAATTTATGGAAAAGTAAAGGGTTACCAACACAGAATTTGTCCAGCTGAATATGGACTCACTTGTTAGAGGAGGCTGAGCCCCCCCTAAATCTCTCTGAATCTTAACAAGGAGGCTAAGCCCCCTTGAGCCCCCCTCCAAGCAACCACTGCCTTAGTTTTGAGTACGTTCGGCGCTACTTCTCCTCACTCATTTAAATACTTCGCTTGTCAACAAAGCAAAAAAGCTTGTTTCCTAAGCGAAAATTCCATCTTTATGAAATTTGCAATTTTGTTACTGGACAGGAGGATGCAAACAAATATTTCGTGCAAACGAAAGAAATTTTATTAATTTTTAATGCTTTCAAATAAGAATTAATAAAAATAATTAATACGAGAAAGAAGCAGATGAAAAGCTATTCAAAATATATTCAAATGAATACTTTCTGAAGGATACCTATTTCCCATAACAACATCTGGCACTTCAGTTGAGTTGCTAAGCAAATGCAGATTGTAGTTGGCAGCATGATCATATGGATTTTTAGCTTAAGATGACGCATCAATAAACAGGCTGCATATAAAGTTTTCATCTGTAGGTGTTGAAGTTACTCAAGTGCACTTTTTCTTGCATTTACATATAGTAATATTCATATCTTGTACTGAATAAAGCTTCCGATCCTTAAAGCTTAGGTTTGGAGTGCGTGCACCATTGCTCTACATTTTCTTATTCCCCATTTTGTTTTTGTTTTCACTAGAAGAAAATGCAAACTTTAGTTTTGAGCCATTTTTCACACCTGAAACAGTTAAGTTTATACAAGGCAGGATACTATAAAAAAAAAAGGGGTTTCCTATGAACTGAGTAAAATAAAAATCTCAATTGAGATGCCTGATGTAAATGCTAATTTATACAATGATAGGTTTTTGATAATCACTTCTAATAATTCAAATAGTTGATTCATAACGTGGAAATTGGGAAAAGTTTTTCAAAATTGCTCCTAAACTTTTTTTAAGTCTGCTGAAATTCCTTGTATTCTGACGAAACTGAATTAGATCTCTTATCAGAAGTAGATAACAGAAATACACAAGAAATACACATATAGCCAACCCACTAGCGGAAAATGACACTCAGCAAAGTGCTCTCGCGTGCCGCTAAATTTGATTGAATGTTTTAATTACCATTATGACTCTTCTTTTTCCCCTCCGCATGAAGGGAATACTGCCTCAATCAAGTCCATATTAAGTTTTTTGGATATTAAGCAGTGCAATGATCGAAGAAAGGGAGAGAAAAGACGCAGAAAAGGATATGAGAAAACGTTTTTAAAACATAGTAACTGTAAAATATTATACACCAGAAACTGTTGAATTGTTTGCTTCGCTTCTCATACTATTGCCGTTATGTTCTGTTTGTTTATTTTTTGTTACTTTTTGTCGTATGAATTCTTTATGTTGCTGTTTCAACTAGTTTATCACTGCACAATTTTCCATTTATCATGGCACATTTTAGATTTGGAACTGCACAAATTGGTTATAACTGAGCCTTGAAATAAGGCCTGAATTTCTCGATTCTGATGAAGCTGAATTAGATCTCTCATTACAAGTAGATAACAGTTCTCGGCTGTCCATGCAAAGAGCATTTTTATGCAACAAGGCTTGAATAACCAAATCTTAACGTATCGGGAAAAATGGCATAAACTTTAGTAGCAGTTTTGCAGCTTCATCTCCTTCAAAATATCCACGCTACGAATCAAGGCCCAAAATATGACGTTTAGCAGCACATAAAAAAGCTTCTTATCATATATGGGACGGCAATAAAATAGTAAAATCTAGAAAAAAATATGTCCAAAAGCATACTGGAACCAAAGTGATACTGGAATAATTTAGGCCTATTGAAAGTGAAAAACTGAAAAAGTCAAAAACTATCATTTAATAGGAAATTAAATGAAGAATATGTCTGCTGCAAAGAAAATTGTAAATTTGATTTAATAATCCACATATAATCTGTTGGGTAAATTGTGATTTTGAGGCTCGAACATATCCTTGATGTTTTGTGGTGATCCAAGAAAAACACGAGACAGTGATTCTACAAAGAAAATATATCTGATCTCTATTATTTGAACAGTTTGCAAATGCGCTGATATTCAAAAGTTTCGCGAGGCTTGTATGTTTTGTTGGGCTACGTGACGACTAGTGTGTTTTCATCAATGTTTGTCACTGTTCTTTAGAGATTTGGGTTGACCGTAGTTACCGGTGTCATGGTTGCGTATGGGTATCTGAACAATTTTATCTAGTACCCTTGCCCGTTACCATGAATGCTATAGCAAACCTAACAGACTTGTGCTTTGAACATTTTTCAGGCTAAAAGGAAAGCCTGGTTAAATAGAACCAAACCTATAAAAGTTGAAACTGTAAAAATGTTGCCATTTCTATGTCTTCCTATCCATTCAATTATTTATGGCAAGCCAATGACGTCATCCATCAATTTCTGTTGTGTTTATTGAGTCTCTCTTTTGAAGCCATTAATACTGTCTTTCCAAAGTGAAACATCTAAATGTAAGTCGAGGAGACAATATGAAATTTTAAAAGACACTTGTTCCTCAACGTTGATAGGCACATGAACCTGGTTTCCCCCAGGTTCCGACGATGATTGCAGTAAAAAGGCAATTTCAGGTAACCCCACCTCTTCTCCCCCATCCAGAATAAAGCTGTCCTTGACAAGCATACATACAAATCATTTCACAGGAAGAAATGACGCCATATCTTAGTAGATCAAAAAAGGTAATGATATAGAAAGAGGCTTAGGCCATCTTTCAGTAAAAATTGACCAATCAGCAAGTCTAATTCCACTCATACGCTTATTGATTGGCTAGTATTGATTGACAGATGGCTAAAGCCACCTACATATTTGTCGTTTGCCTTGCATTTTGAAAGAAATTTTTATCAGCTCTGTTTAAAGAGCTTCCAAAACATTCACCGTTCTCCAGGGTACCGTAGATTCTAAGAATGGTCCAATGAATCTATTGTCCTGGTCAAGGTTTAGAAACTGCCTCTAATAGCTGGACAAGTATTGACTTTTGTTATGTTCACCGAAGTTATTCTGGCAAATATCTAGTATTGCCCCCTAACTGAGAAGGTTGTTCAATTAATTTTCAGAAGACTAAAAATCAAAAAAAGCTTACCAAAACAAGGAAGTATACCTCATTTTCCTACAGGTGTACGAGTTCTTTGAACAGTACAGCAAGCCTGAAAAAAATCTTCTGTAGAATTTGCTTTGTACAGTAACTTAATTTAGTATTTTGGTACTTTAAGTAACTTTTGTTTATGAAAGTCTCTTAAAAAGTATTGGAATTCTTATTTTTTGAAATGTGATGACATAACCTAAAAAAAGACTGCTAATATATATGCTTTTATATTTTCATATTTTTATGTTAAAAGTGCATACGTTTATCATACCCCCCCCCCCCCATTTTCTTGTACCATCGTAGCTGTATGTTTTCTGTGAGTTCGGAGGAGACAAAAGGAGAAGATTGAGAATAACGTCCTTGGTTAACAAGAAAAAGAATAGAGAAAAGTTTTAACATCATTACCAAATACAAGTTTGTAATGATAAAAAGGTAGTGTGAGTTAGCCTGAATTGTTTGAAAGTATTTAGTTTGGAGTCTGGGGCTCAGGGTAAGTGTGAGTAAGCGATACTGCGATCCTCGTGATCGTCACTGCTATCGTGATTGTAATGAAAATCATCTTGATCGTCACAGTCACTGTGATTGCTGCCGTCATCATGATCTCACGGATAGCGCGATCGTCGAAGTTATCTTGATGGTCACAGTCATCGTGATCGTTGTGGTCATCTTAATCGTCGCAGTCACCATGATTGTTGCCGTCATCATGATCTCACGGATAGCGTGATCGTCGAAGTTATCTTGATGGTCACAGTCATCGTGATCGTTGTGGTCATCTTAATCGTCGCAGTCACCATGATTGTTGCCGTCATCATGATCTCACGGATAGCGTGATCGTCGAAGTTATCTTGATGGTCACAGTCATCGTGATCGTTGTGGTCATCTTAATCGTCGCAGTCACCATGATTGTTGCCGTCATCATGATCTCACGGATAGCGTGATCGTCGCCTTTATCGTGATCGTCTCAGTCATCGTGATCGTTGCCGTCACCATCTCCTCGGCATGTGTATGCCCACTATAAATTTTCACTATATTGTATAATCCTAACATGGAATATCACAACCATTTAAATGTTTTGCAAATTAGCCTAGCAACCGAGATGAAAAAGGAATTTGAGCATTGCAGATGGATACCTGCTTCTTTGTTACGTTACACTACCGGAGATTTTGATAAGAAGCTCAAAACACCCAAGTCAAACATTCAGGCATCTAGCAACACGTATGATTTGTATGAATGCATGAAGATTCATTTAAGTAAGAATGAATTTTTTCCGACAGGGATCCAGTGAATCACTGTTGTCTTACTTTAGAAGTGTGATGTTTGGTCTCCTACATAAAGCAGTATTCATTCCAAAGCTTTTAAAATAGACTTAATTAAAAATATGCAACACATTTTTCAGAGTTTACTTTGGTCACCACGACGATGAAAAATTGACAGCAGAAATGCTCGTGAAGTTAGCTTCATATTCATTTGGAACTGTAGACAGCAAGAGTTAGGATATAGGCCAAAGAGCACAGATATAGACCAAAGAGCAAATTTAAAGGTAACAAATCACAGTTTCACTTGATCAGTTTGTAAAAAAGGAATGCTATATATGTATAACAATAACATCATTTTTAAAGCCATATACGATATTCTTTCTGAATAAACTCTCTAGATCTGTAGGCATGACAATTGCTGTCTAGCGGTCTCTCATAAAATGTTCGATGTCGTATAGGCAGTCTGTACACGATTTTGTGTCTGTACACGATTTTGTGTCTGTACACGATTGGTCAAAGCTACTCTTCATCTAGGCCATATCATTTGACTACACCAAAGAAGTCATAAGCAACAAAGTTGAAGAAAAAAGTTCATCTTAAGGCACTTCTACAGAGATTTAAAAAAAATTAGGAATTTTATTTGCAAGAAAATGCTCGAGAGTACTGAAGTTTATATTCGACTAACGCGAAGAAAAGCAACATAAAAATTGTAATGAAATAAAACCACTCAAGATGCGAGTGAAAAATTCAGTTAGGAATGAAAAAGTAGCAAAAGTTAACAAAAATTTAGTCCTTGTTAATTTCTTCGAAGAGCAGAACTTTTTAGTTCACATTTGTAGACCAGACGTTGGTTTAGGACCAGATTCAAGGACTATGTCAGTAAGTTGGATTTAAACAAAGATAGTTCCGGGCAACTAATATGATTTGCCACTGACGGTCTTACGGGCAAAAAACTTCTTAGCCCTAATTTCTACAAAGTACCAACCTTATCACAATAAAGAGTTCTGAAAACATCTCGAAAAGCGCAAAACTCCTAGTTAAATGTCTATAACGATGTGAGTGAGTGCCTAAGTCGCCCGAGTCATAGAAACGACAGAAGTCAAGTTTGTAGTATCGTTGTCTTCCGTATATCAACAAGTAATAAGTAGCATTTTTTGCAGTGAGAAGATTTACAAAATAAATGATGAGGACATTTACAGCTGCCTTCCTTCTTGGCGTGATCTTGGTTCTGTACCTAGAAACAAATGGTAAGTTCAAACTTGAAATGTTTTCTTCAGCCAGGTCTTTACAATAAAAAATTTAATTAATGCTGAGCAATGGTTGTTTCTCGGGTACTTATTATATCTGTATAGATCTACACACATACCCTCTATATTTCTGCATATTTGAAGAGCATATGAAAGTTCCTCTGATACTAGCGACAATTAGCAACTGTATTTTCTTCGTTTCCTACGGATAAAAAACATCACATCAAACATGATTGTAGAGCTCAGTTCAGTTCAGTTTCATATTTTAAATTCTCCACATACAATTTATCATAACAAAACTAATTAATACAAACAATTTACTAAACTACAATAATAACAATAATGCACCTAAAATTAATAAAACATACAAATACCGAACAAAGAACAAGATAAATTGCATGGGGGGAATTACTTAAAGGAGGAGCTCTCTCAGTAGTTAAACTAATCGAGGAGAGAGCACCCCCTGTTTCAAATTTACCAATGGAGTGGAAGAGTATCATGGCTAGAAAAATAATTTCTGCGAGCAACTTAAAAGAGATAATTACTTGCACATAATTCCTGGTAAGGTAAATATCTTGGGAGGTGTTTCGATGTGGCAACTGCCAGCCTGTGCTAACGAAATATTTCATCAAGTCGAGCATAACCGAGTAACGCTAAGGTCAAAATTAGAATCAAACCTTTCCACGGTCAAATATGTTTGTCTTATTTGGGGCCGACGATATGGAATAATCTTTCTTCTAGCTTAAAATTCACAAAAAACAACTGTTTCGTACAAAAAATCAAAGGAAATATCTTTCAAAACATACAGAGAGAACAAAATGGCGTATATGTGCTGTATTAAAATCCCACGCTTTCTCTCGCATATACATAATTCAGTTGAACAAAACTTCCCTCTAAAACAATCTTAACAAGTATATTGTTTATCTTTATTTCAGTTTTTTTCCTGTCTTTTTTTGCAACTACTATTAAAATAAGGTCAACCCGACCTTTAAATACTACCTCTGCCTGTAAATTTCAGTGTTTTTAACTTGTATAATTTAACATTGTAAATACAAAAGATTGTCTTGACCTATTTATTACCTCTAAACAATGTTAAATTACTTTGGAGAAAACTGAAAAATACATACAAACATATTGCTCGAGTGGCTTGCTAACATCTGCCTTTCTCCCCACAGCCTAGTTCTGAAACAGTTTTGACTTCACCTTCCCCTTTATAAAAAAATACCATTCTGAATGCTGTATTAAAAAATACCATTTCGAATGCCTAAGAGTTCCTTCAATGCTACAGATATTCATGAATTCACTTTATCTGGTTTTCGAACAAAGAATGCTGTTATCAGTTCATTTGTTAGTCTGGCTATCGAATCGTGACATAAATATATCCTTTTGTATACGTAATTTTTCGTCTTCTCCTCAAAATCAATCCGTTAACATTCAATTTACAATTAGACTTCAACTGATGGATTTAATTTAGCGGGTTACAGAATAAGTCTCCTAATTCCCCAATTCCCGCTTAGTTTTTAGCCCGATTTCTGACCCCTGATCATCAGTTCTCGAATCCTGGTGTTATCAGTTCTCGAATACCGCTCACAAAAATTCTCTGATTCCCGTTTCCTGGCTCCAAAAATGGTTGGTGTCTGCTTCCCCGAAAAACATATTGGGGAAGGGGTCAGAAATCGGGCTATAAACTAAGCGGGAGTCGGGGAATTAGGAGACTTATTCGGTAACCCGCTAAATTAAATACATCAGTTGAACTCGCATCCTAAACTGAATATTAACAATTGATTTTGAGGAGAAGACGAAAAATTACGTATACAAAAGAATATACGAAATTTAAGAAAATACCAAAAATAACGGGTCTCTTCAAAGAACAGCAAATATTGTCACCTAGAGATGTCATGGTGTTGATTTAGCCTCAAAGCGCTCTTAGTACCTTCCTTGTTTCTCTAGATGTTTTTTAGAACAACTTCGTCACTATTATATCTTTTCAGCAATGCCAATAGATGGATCAGGCTCAGGATTAGGGCCTGATCATGGATCTGGGTCAGGATCAGGTTCTGGTCATGGATCTGGTTCGGGATCTGGCTCAGGATCAGGTTCTGGTGATGGATCTGGCTCAGGATCGGGTTCTGGTCATGGATCAGGATCAGGCTCTGGTGATGGATCTGGCTCAGGATCGGGTTCTGGTCATGGATCAGGATCAGGCTCTGGTGATGGATCTGGCTCAGGATCGGGTTCTGGTCATGGATCAGGATCAGGCTCTGGTGATGGATCTGGCTCAGGATCGGGTTCTGGTCAGGATCAGGCTCTGGTGATGGATCTGGCTCAGGATCGGGTTCTGGTCATGGATCAGGGTCAGGCTCTGGTGATGGATCTGGCTCAGGATCGGGTTCTGGTCATGGATCAGGGTCGGGATCAGGCTCTGGTGATGGATCTGGCTCGGGTTCTGGTCATGGATCAGGGTCGGGATCAGGCTCTGGTGCTGGATCTGGCTGGGGATCTGGCTCAGGATCAGGCTCTGGTGATGGATCTGGCTCAGGATCGGGTTCTGGTCATGGATCAGGATCAGGCTCTGGTGATGGATCTGGCTCAGGATCAGGTTCTGGTCATGGATCTGGCTGGGAATCTGGCTCAGGATCAGGCTCTGGTGATGGATCAGGGTCAGGATCAGGTTCTGGTCATGGATCTGGCTGGGGATCTGGCTCAGGATCAGGCTCTGGTGATGGATCTGGCTCAGGATCGGGTTCTGGTCATGGATCAGGGTCAGGATCAGGCTCTGGTGATGGATCTGGCTCAGGATCGGGATCTGGTCATGGATCAGGGTCAGGATCAGGCTCTGGCTCAGGATCTGGCTCAGGATCAGGTTCTGGTCATGGATCTGGCTGGGAATCTGGCTCAGGATCAGGCTCTGGTGATGGATCTGGCTCAGGATCAGGTTCTGGTGATGGATCTGGCTCAGGATCGGGATCTGGTCATGGATCAGGGTCAGGATCAGGCTCTGGCTCAGGATCTGGCTCAGGATCAGGTTCTGGTCATGGATCTGGCTCTGGTGATGGATCTGGCTCAGGATCAGGTTCTGGTCATGGATCTGGCTGGGAATCTGGCTCAGGATCAGGCTCTGGTTCAGGATCAGGTTCTGGTCATGGATCTGGCTCAGGATCGGGTTCTGGTCATGGATCAGGGTCAGGCTCTGGATTTGCTAATGACCTTGACTTTGAAGTTCCACTTTAGAATTGGCTTATTCATCAAGAAATTTTCAAATTCTCTCAATTCGTTTGAGAGAGGGAAGCAAAGAATAACACAAATAATTGCATAACATGATACAATGGAATAAAAACACGAGAATAAAAGCATCCTGCATTTACCAATTCTTTTCATTTACTCGACACATCTAAAATCTTTTTGCACCACTAGCTTTTTGCTGCATTTAAATTCGTGAAGTTTTAATGTCCTTGTAATAACAAAATGACAATGAGATTAATTTTTGTTTTTTTTGCCCCAAACGAGAAAATTGTCTCCCAAGGGTCTCTTGCATTCAGAACTTTTTATGAAACAAGGTTCAATAAAGTAGCGATGGCTTGTAAACTGCAATTTAGCTGGCTCTTGACAAAAACATGCATTTGTATCCATTTAAAAACTATCTAGAGAGGGCATTCATAAGAGGCGCCTATTTCCTAACAAAGACAAACAGCCGAGAAAAGGCTCAACATAATAACTTTTGAGTTACCAGTATGAGCAAGTATGCACGACCATAAAAAACCACAATACATAAATGGTTGAAGTTAATATGTTAGTAGATAGTTGCTATATTACAGAAAAACAACATTCAAACAGAGTGAAATGTTTCATGTTTAAGGACTACATTTAAGGTCTAGGTTTTATAAAAACTTCCTGAAGTTTTAATGACAGCTAAAGGGTCAGTTTAAGAGAGAGTGGGGAATGAGCACGCAAAGAACAAAAGTTTTCTGAAAATATTTTGAAAAATTATTATTAAGCCTTTATGAATTATTGTCCCTCTAAAGAAAGTTGAATCTGACAAGCAAGTTGGGATTTGATAGCGTTGCTGGTCAAAAAAGAGAAAAATTGGCAAACAGCAACTTTTAGTTACAGAACATATTTCAAAACAGTTACAGATAACCTTCTCAATTTTTAGTTGAACTTTAATTGTTTTTCAAAATAATGTTACAGTCAAAGTGAACTTCGGGGTCCTCGAGATCGTTACGATCACCTTTTTGGCCCTTGAACACATAAATAAAAATTCACAACACGAGTTAAACATAAAAGGTTCCCAGTCAAGAAGAACTGCTACTACATAGGAGTAAACTATTCAAAGTTGCGTTAGGGTAAACCTTGCAAAAACTTTCTAGCCTATTATTGCAAAGAAAGTGGGGGGGGGGCTATAGCCCCTGCTAGCTCAATGGCTGCGTGGTGCCTGAACTGAGGTTGAAAAGACAATTGGGCGCGACAGACGATCTCCTACTTATTTGTTAAGTTACACGTTTGACAAACTAATTGACTAAAACTTTGAGCTTTTTTCAAAATCAAAACTAAACATGTTAGTGTTGTCATTTAGTTTAATAGTTGATTGGCCAGTTAGTGCTTCTCCATAAGTTATGATTGGAAGACTCCTTTCATCTTTGAAAATCTGAATTGTTAGATGATGCAAAAACGGTGATAGACGATGAGTGATTTCTGCAAGAATCAACTGCGGAGAAGAGAGAGTAGTTTAAAATTTATAGAGTCAAATAATGATATTCGGTGAACGCATAGACAAATTTCATGAAAGTTGAGTTGAAAATCTTACGTCGAAGATTATCATTCAGCCTAGTGTTTAATCAATTAGACCCTCTAGCTGAATAAAGAAACTGACATAGAAAATGAAACCAAGAAAATAAGTAGTGCTAAGATTTACTTGTTCAATTGCATCTCGCCGCACCCTCACGTGAAATGAGCACGCCTAGCAAAGAAGAATATGATTAATCCAAATATGAAAAATAGAATATGAAAAAGCTGCCATTGCGTAGACAGAAGGCGTTCGTTTGCTCTCTTGGATTTCAGTGGATATTCTTTCTTTAGGCAAGCGGCATTGATTGTTCAACTATACTGGTCTTGTGCTTGCATTTTTCTGATTGGCCTATTTCGATCCACAACTGGGTGAATATTTTCATCGTGTTCTTTCGGGCCTTTATTCTGACGTTTTATGCTCAGAGGAGTGTCAGACGAAAAAGCTTTTAGCCAATATGTTGTAAAATTTGCTTTTTCCAAAGCCATTTTCAAGTTCTGTGCCCCCAAAAAAGTAATCCAAATATATTAAAAACAAGAGTAAACTGGTATGAGGACACTTTGAGGTCGAATAAGTATGCATAAAACTCCGAGGTTCACTGAAATCCAGTATACACTGAAATAGATTCATACATGTTCAATGCCATTAGCAAGCTCTGACCAGGAATCATCAAAGATCAGAAAATAAGAAAGTTTCGGGAGCCACAAATCTTGAATAATGCTACATGCTCGATGTAGGATGGGGAAATTGCATCTGGTAACGGTTGCGCCCTGTTATCGATAGTCAACAAAGAAATACTACTACCACATGGAAACAACGACTTACTATTCGCTCAAACCCAACGTTCCAAACGTGTTCATTCTTGATTTCTAACACACCATCTATGGTGTTTGCCTAGAAAAAAATAAAACATTATGACAAATATAAGGTGATGGAATATTTTATAAATTGTATATTTGATTCTTCTGATTATTCAATCATATGGTGCATCTTATAATTTGACAAATTTGAGATTAATTTCAAGGTCAGGAAATCAGGACTTTGGGCAAGGCCGTCGCTAACTATTGTACTCAAAGGGGGGGGGGGATGCTCCGATCCCAATTGCCGACAACATTGGTGAACTATTCTCTATTTGCCGAAAGATTTGAAAATTTGCCGACGAAGCACCAAACTTTTTTTGAAAATGAATTTTTTTCCAAAAGGGGTCTCCCCCCACACCACATTTTCATAGCGACGGCCCTGATTTTGAGTCGTGTGAGAATGAGCACACACAATGAAGATCGAGGTAAAATAGCCTTGAACTAGCCAAGTGGTGAAGAGAACAAAACTATTTTTGGCCATTGTTTCGTTTCATACAGAAGTTTACCAACCTCTCTAAGTAATTTGTCAAAAGTTTCCATCATATGTCCCGGAGCAGCCTATGGAAATGAAAGCTATGATTAACGCCTTCGCTAGGATTTGGATCAGACATTAACAAAGGTGATATCAATACAAAAAAGTAGGCCTAATTAACAATTTGACAATTTGGGTGAGAAGTGTGAAGACCTAGGATGATGTTAAGATCACTTTAGCAGTATTGTTTATAAATTATTACAGCAAAAGCTAAATAAGCAAGTTTTATCGTCATAAAATTTTTTCTGTCAATAATGCTCGCTAAGGTGAAGCATGTGATATACAAGAAATAAAACCTAAAGGACTTTAATAAAAATTCAGGGGCAGAAAATAATGAGTATTGAACGAGTGCCCTCTGCAGACAATATGAGTTATGAATTGGGTGAACCTGCAGTAATATCATGCCACTGTAAGCGCCAAGAGGAAACATAGTAACGCAAGTGAAGAATGCAATGATCATCGCACAGATTGTATCAGGCAGGCTCGAGGCTCTAAAATGAATGGAATGTGTTTATCAAAATTGTACGAGTCATTCTTGGGGTTATTATAAAATTTTAATAAAATGAAGAGAATCTATAGGATACAGATGAGAAAAAGGGGGCAACAAATGGGGGTATCTATATGCAATCTTCAAATCGTGTAAAGATCTACTGTGCTGTGCTACATACGCTTACGGGTAGGAACAGACCCTACAAAAGCGTACGATCACGTAAAGGGAGTGGGGCCATAGAGGAATGTACATATAGAATTTAAACTTATTTTGATAGTAAGCTTGCATTGAATTTATGGCTAGAACTGATCTGCAAATCAACAACAGCATTGAAGTGATATGATTTTCAGTCGAATGTACTTTACGTCTGCCTCATGGCATACACTAAAACAAACATAAAACGAAACAAAAATTTTTAAAAGTTAAATTTAATTGAATTATCCAGAGTTGAATTGATAAATATCCAGAGGTGTGTAGTGATTGGGTTTTTGCTCGCAAAAGGAATATCTTTTATTTCTGAAAGTCCAGAGTTAAACGATAAAAATGAAAATTTGCCTCTGCCATGCAATAATACATCGCAAATTAGCTTAAATCAGTTAAGTGGAAAATATATTCGATCAGTGATCAGAAACAAAACTTATCATATCAAAAATTGATTTTCAGTGTGTTGCTGTTTTACCCTTTTTTCAAAACTAAATCACATTGCTTCATTGGAAACACTTAGAACAAGTAAGTTGTTTTGATCATAATGACTTGGCAAGCCTCGCTCTTTATTGTTCATTTACCATATCTCGTTATATCACCAAGAGGCGGCAATATCCTTGTTGCTCTGCTCTGAAAAAACCGTGCAATGAAAAAACTTCTTGAACCATTCTCGCCTCACAACTCCAAATCGGTGAAACTTAGTCTACTACAATCACAAATGTCACATACCGTTGATCAACAAGAAAGACTTCAATAAGCACCATTAACGCGGCGAATTCCCCCAGCAGTGCATATGGATTCAGTCGGGGTAATAAATACTTCGACAGTATAGGGGCCATGCCACAAATGCTGAAACAAACCAAAGGCAATTTCTATGCAAAACAATTTCATGGGTAATTGGAGACTATCACTTAACAAAAGGGCAAAAAATGCACAGATAAATACACTAAGCAAATCAAGAAAATTATCTAATATCTTTTGGCTCAATTAAAATTAGCATGTGAAACATCTAGCAATATTCAAAATATATATGTCAAAAAGACGATTTCCATAAGCCAGTAACTGCGGTCACTAAATGACTGAATTTTAAATAATTGATGAAACTAGAAAAACATTCATCAAAAGTTTGCTTCGCTTCAAGCAAATTTAATATGTTGTTTGTAGATTGAAATAATTTAACAGAATGCTGGATGTCGCATAGACAGAGCTCTACAGGCATTCAAGTTTGATCATCAGACAATCGTAACTTGTTCTATAATCGCACTAGGCACGAAACTCAGAGTTCCAACTAAGAACCGTCTTCGTTTTACAACAAAGTATAAAAATTGAAAATGTATTTTCAAAGCCTAATATAAGGGTATCAACTGTGAAAACGAAACTTAACTTAAAGGCATATGAGAAAGTTGTAGAAACATCATTAAATTATATATTACTTACTTTTTTCCAAAGTCCTGCATAAACTCTTGAAGAGGATTAGAGGCAGCAACTACAACGAGAAAAGAAAAACTTTTAGGTTTTTCGAGACATAGAAATGGTTTTAAAACAGGGTATAAAGAAAATTCAAAGACTCTTTCTTTGACACCTTATGAACTTCTTTTTCAGATACACAAAATATCTTCAGAATATCAAAACAATTATACAATGCATGGCTGGATCTTAGCAAAACGTCGGCGACAATTAGACTCACCATTAGATACATGAGAAAATGGCCTGTTCACCACTCCATAAATAACAATGAGATGAACAAACAGCCCAAAAAGCATCATTGGCAGTTGCCCGTTTCTGTAATAGAGCAAGCTGTTTCAATACAACAGACAGGATGAATTAAGGATAACATTAACGAAATATGAGCATCATCTAAGCAGTGGCAGAAATTGAAGGGGCTTTGGAGGGGGGAGCTCAGACTCTCGTTTCATTCTTGATAAAAATTTTTAGCTTTTAAACCCCCGATATTCTTTTGAAACCGTTTCTTGTCGGAAAATCGAGCAGGAAAATCGAGCAGGCACCCATCCTCCCCCCCCCCCCACAGTCAAAGTCCTGAGTTTCCGCCACATTTAAAACATACCCAAGCAATACAGAAGTTATAAAATTACACAGGTTTTCTTTTGCATCAAAATTGTAAAAATTCAATAAGTCTGAAAACAAGCGTTTTAACGACAGATTATTATCTAGCGAGGTTGAAGCATCTCATCATTTATCACCTGTCACATACCCTGGCTAATTCGTCAAATATGTGACATAAATCTAATTATCGTTTGAACGTGATATGAATAAATCATATAAAGAGATCATGGCAAATAAAGATATTATCAAAATTTTGCTTTACAAACAAGCAAGCGTGGAGCTGGAATTGCAAATTGATATACAAACTAACGTTTTCACTTCTTGGTATTGAAATAATCCTTCAAAACTAAAAAAGCAAAAATATTTATTGGCTTATTCCCAAATGTAAGAAGTAGAAAAATGCAAGATTTTGCAGCTTAAAGAATTATCGACTGCGATGAACGCTGACAAATATTTAAAAAAACTTAAGTTTTTTTAAACTTAAGTTTGACAAATATTAATACCACCTTGCGTTTATTGCATTTCTGAGAAAGATATTCAGAGTGTTAGAGTATGATCTAGCCCAGATCATACGAACAAGAAAATCGATTTCCTTTCTTGTATGGTACGTGATGCTGGCTGAATATCACTTGGAAGGAGAATAACAAGTTTTCAAGGTGAAAAGCTGCACAAAACTACATAAATTAAGTACCTACAAAAATATTATTCCATGTCGTTTATTCAAGATTCAAAAAGCAGACGATGTAGCAAAAGTTTAAAAAAGTATATGTCTATACATGAAGCATCACCAGGAGTGTAATACAGCGCAGGAGATTTTGATGTTCAAATGATAGATCGAATATTTCTGGATACCTTTCCTTGAGAATAAAGAAACTTCCAAGCTGAGTTAATGTTGTAGATACAAAAACTGCTAATATTTCGAATCTGTCAAATCTACAAAAAAAATTAAATTATTAATATCACCAGAATGACACTTATGAGCCAAAACTATTAATAGGCACAGCTGTAATAAAAGACTCGAAAACATCAGATTGATTCAAAAATATTATTTAAATAAAAAATAAGGACAAGTTTTTGCATTGACTTCTACTTGCAATTTTCATGTTTTGTTGAATTATCTCGAAAATGATACAAAGTATTGAAACAGAATTTGCAGGTAAGGATGGTACTTTTTTTGTGGGGGCGACTTATGCAGCATCCGATTTGTGCATGGTACCCCCATGTTAATATGCACAACCCTGACAAAGCAGTCTATAGCAAAAAATGTGAACTGAGAATGATTTTAATAACGCCCCTTTGTAATAGTCTCGGCGGGGTAATCTTTAAAGGGGGTTAGCAGGTAAATATGACAGGGGTAGAAAAATTTATCTGTAACTGGAAGAAGACAAGATGTTGTGTCAAAGAGGGAAGCAAAGACTGAATGGGGACAAAAAGTCTCAGCTTGCTGGGGCTCTGGGAAATGTAAAAATGCTTGGGTCATTCTATATTTTGCAAAAAGGGACTCCCTGGTCAGAAAATCCAACACAGCGACGGTCTTTACTGGGCTTGCTAACAGGGGTTTTAAAAGCTATCTACTACTTCATAAGCCTTGTAATAAAGAAGAAGTAAATGGCCTCCAAACACATAAACATATCATATATTTATAACAACAACAATTTTTTTCTAAAACCTAATAGCAATTAATGAGATCCTCTAATGAGATAAATACAAAAATGTGTCAAACAACAATACACAGCAGAGATACAAAGCAAAAGTGCCAAATAACGTGAACAAGATCAAATTAATGCTTGATTGGTACTTCTTTTACTTAAAACTGCCCCTCAAAGAGAACAGCCTCCCCGATCGTGTAGGTCTAGAAACAGCGTTAAAACAAGTGATTCTGCAATCGGATTTTTTTTTCTAGGATTCCACTGGTGAATTTTCTATTGGCACGTATAGAGTTCTCAAGTGTGACGTCACAAAAAAACATTTTTTTGAATTTTCTAATTTTGACCACATAACACAAAAGAACACGATAAAATACTCCCATTTATGCAAAATCAGATGATTTTGTCAAAAATCGGGGGAACTATCGCCAATAGAAAATATGAAGTTTGCAAACGGATTACTGTTATTTTGGCTCAGTTCATGAAGTTATGAACTAAGACCAAATTACAGAGGTTTGATGGGGCAAGAGCCTGTGCTAATGTGGCCATATCTCAGCCAATTCATAATGCCTTTAACTGATTTTGCAGATTTAGCGGTACTTTATGACGCTCTTTCAGGTTATGGAAAAAATTTCAAAAGTTCTGAAAAAAGATTTTTGTGATGTCATCACTTGACAACTCTATTACAATTTGGAAAGCTATACCAGTCATGTGCTGGCTTTTCTGATTGGCTCACTTCGATCTACAGCTGGGTATATTTTTTTCATTTTGTTCTTTCGGAACTCTATTCTGACGCTTTATACTCTAAGGAGTGTCAGACGAAAAAGCTTTTATACACTGTTAAATTTTTGCTTTTTCAAAGCCATTTCTTTTACCATATCACCCTCCCTTGCATCTGACATAATCCATTTATGATTGCTCGTCTAAGGAAGGCTGGACTGTTTCAAACAAATAGCGTACTTTAATCTTAAAATGTAGCCAGAATCTTGCATAAAAAGTAATACTTTGAACAAATATTTTTCATACCCAAATGAATATGTTTTTGTTGGAACCTGTTGTGATATCCAAATCGACAAGAAACAAGTGCATAAACTAAAAGATAAAAACAAATATTAAATTATAAACCATTAATCAAATCATTTAACTTTATCATTAAGAGTTAGTAAGTACATACTGACTCTGCTTAATAGGCATGTTATCTACTTTTTAAATACAAATTTGTCTTTCTTGACAAAGGATAACCTGTCTAGGATCCTCCCATTACTTCTATAAACATTTGTAGCATAAAAATTAAATATATTTCTGGTCTGCTTGCATCAACCTTGCTTTGAAAACTCTTAATCATCATGATTTCAAAAATCAACTCAAACATGTTAAAATACTGTAAAGTAAACCAAAATAGAAACTTTTAAGAAAAAGAGAAATTTTGTTGACATTTACATTTAAACAAAAAAGTCAACAAAAAACTGCTAATTGTTCAAGGTATGAATATATTTGAAGTCTGTGCAACAGGATCACAAACTTTGCAACTGAACATGTCATGAAAACAAAATTGGGTTTCTTTATTTTCTTATTCCATCAATAATCAAGACTTTCATAGAATGAACATTACTGCATACAAAAACAAATGAATTTTGACTTACCATAGAAAGTCAAAAATTGTAAGATATGCAAAGGCAGTCAATGCTGAAAAAAGGTTTAAAGATAAAGTCAGAATTTTAAAGAATGTTATGGTACAGTTGTTGTGCTCTAATGAAACAAGAATGCATTTCAAAGAGGAAAAACGATAATCATCTTGATAACAAGGCAAATGTACCTTGCAATAAGATTTCTGGTACAATAACATATGACATTCCTCAAAACAGAGGCATTATGCTACATTAATAGGTCCAATAGGTCTTTTAATTTTCACCTCATGCCACCTTTTTTAGCCTGATCATTCTGCATTGCTTTGAAAGAACATCTACTCTATTTCCTTGCTAACAATTATTGAAACTGGTCCTAGAGAATGTTGCATGACTAAGGTGAATTTGAGGCAGTTTGTGAATATATATTGATTGAAATACTCCTCTTCTGGACAAAATTATATCTCATTGAATTTTACTGGACACATATTGATTCTACTGGACAGCTTCTCTTAAGTTGAAGTGTTTATCCAGTTTAAAGATTCAAAATTAATATTATTACTATTATTGTTATTTTTTCATAACATGTTTGAAAACAGTCTTCATACACTTGCTTAAACCTACCCATACTATTGGTTGCTGTTGCAGTAACAATCAAGAAAAATGTGCAGAAAAAATTTAAAACCAACAGAGCTGCTATTTTCTTTGCCTACAATGAAAATTTAATCATTAAAGACAAGAAAATTCCAAAAAGGTAAATATAAAAGACCTCAATTAAAATGTCTATACCAAATTTCACCATCAGTGGAGAAATAATACATAGTTTACATGAATGGCTACAACATATTTTGAAACGAGTCTCATGAAAAAAGTTAGGCAGTTGCATGTCTAGAAATTTAACAAAAATACCCAACAAGACTAAAAAGAAATGTTGATAAATATGTTTTGCATACACTTAATTGGCTTACAAATATTTTGATGGATGGTCTACTGATATCACTCCTAAATCTATTTAATGTTTTTGTTTTTATTTGCCAATTTTAAACTAATGAAAAAATCAGATCTAAAAATATATTTTTGGATTTATAGTGAAAGGAAAAAAGAGACAACATTGAGAGCAACATGACATAATTTGCTTATGAAGAAAGTCACATATTGGGACAATGAGCAAAAAGATTCTGTAGTTAAGAAATTACAACATGCTTCAAATTAACTCTTACCTGTCGCATGCTTAACATATTTCTAAATTCATTTTTCAGTGTCTCAAACTTATTTCTTGAGCTTCTAAATGGCTTCATTGTCTCCTAAACAGCAGAAAAACATGGTGCTTATCCATATGTATAAGATATTTTAATTGACATGAAACACAATAACAGACAAATCAATAATTTTTTATGTCAACAAAACAAACAAAAAAGCTTTCATATCAAGCATTAACACCATTGATACAATAAACAATTTACAAAATCTATGCCTGTAGAAATGCAGGCTTTAACATCTGTTTATCTGTTGTGCACCAACATTATTCATAACCATTAACAAACCTGTGCACAATAACCATATATTTTGTTTGTATGATAAAATTATAGATATATTTTCAAATGGTCCTTTAAGATTAGAAAGCAAATCATGATTGAAAAACACAAGTTAAAACTCACAAGTTGGGGTGTTGCAAAGTCATAGCTTTGCACACTTCTTGTTTTTGTTCCAGGAACAAATAGTTCTTCTAAAAGATTAAATTTCTTATCAAAGCATCACTTTCATAACTTGGAAAGAATCATTCAAGGTCAAGAGCACATAATTAAAATATACTGAGTGTTTTCTACAGTTTAGCCAAAAGTGCAGTTAAAATACTAAAATTGGTGCTTTATTTCATCAGAAAGCTATATGTTATACCTATGATAAAATCAATTTTTAATTCATAGTGGTTATCCTGTCACCAGAAGAGAAATTTTCATCAACCACAACATATTGATATTACTACACCCTGCAAACTACATTATTATTGTAACTTGTTATTATAACAATAAGCGATATTTTTTGGGACTTCTGTGTGATACTTATAAAGTGGCCCTTATTTTACCTTTGACATCTTTACACCTAATATTCAAACAGAAATAGCTAATGCACACTTGGAAACAGTTTTAAAATGACTCCTGTTTAGAAATGAGAGGAGCAAGATGATGCCACTATTGGAGCTTGCCAAGCTTCTTCATTTGCATATATAATTCATGTATCTAAAAGCTTATCAAGAATATAACGTTACCACTTTTAAAGTGATAAATCATTAATTTTTGGCTTGATCTTTACCTTCAAATGTCGTCGACGGCCTATCGACTACAATTTCGATTGACCTATTTTCCAGGCCTTGGTCTCGAAAACCGGCCTTCTGATTCAACGGCCTCAAATTGAATGCCATCGTTGGTCTCCACTGTCTTCAATAAGTCACTTTTCTGCTAAATACACCCTACAGCAATCACACCAAAAACCTAAGCCACGTAACTATTGCTGTACAAATACGCACCATCTTGTTTCCTGTTGACGTTGTTGTTGTTGACGCAGCAAGTTTGTGATGTGGGATCTGTCCCGTGGTCTGTCTGACCTCTTGGCCCCAGCCCAGTTTTTCCTAAATTGGCTTCGAGAATTCTATCACCAAGCATTTTTGTGGACATTTTTGCAGCTATGAAAATTTTCTTTCCACACCACATTGCCTCTAATTTGTCTACACATAACTTGCAAAAGCAAGGTAAAACTTTTATTAGATCTGCTAATAATCGCATAAAGCTCGAAAAAATAACTCTATTAAAGTTACTAAAACTATGTTCGAAAATATATGCCGATTACTTTCCTTGAATATTGCGATCTTTGCTTTCGATAGTGTTCTTCCTTACTTCCTTTTTTAGTAATTATTTTTTTCTAAAATAGACTAGCTACTAAAGTAAAAAAACTACCGTTTCTTGAATTTCATCGAGAAACCTTAGCTTTAATTAAATTGAAGGAAAATCGTAAAAACAAAGCTGCAAGAGAAAAAAATCAAGCATATGAAAAGAAGAGGAAGAGTTTGAAAATCGCCAACTAAACGAAAGATCGATTATAATCTCTTCGGGAGTATCGGAGGTGCAAAAGAATCTTATATACTGCTCGACTTCAAGCCATCGTTTAGCAGCTATATCGCTACGCTGAAACAAAAGAACGCATTCGAAGTATAAGTAAAGATTGCCGCGTTCTAATAAAGAATATGGAAAGCATCTCATCCGAATCGCCGGAGCATGAAATACATTTCGCAATCGTGCATATTAAGAGGAGGCAAGAAAAAAATACTATCTGAAAGAAGGTACCCAAAGTGTGAAGCTTTGATTCTCCAACGGCACCATGACAGACAGGTAACGTTAATTTCAATTCACATATACTATACTGCTTATGCTTATTGCAATACAAAAAATCATGATCCTACATCAAGCCAATGCTGGCTGAATTCTAAGAAATCAAATGTACAAACAATTACACACTAAATGGCAAAAAATGCATAGCTTCGTTGAAATTGTTTGGAAATCAAACATATGACAGCAAATACTATTTTATGTAAAGGCAATGTCATTCCATTCGAAGTACAAGATGGAGATAGCGAAGACAAGATTCAACCTATTCTGAAGACAAAAGCAAGGGGCTATAATAACAATCATGTCAATTTTTCAATTATAATCTCATATTCTGTATCTGAAGGATTCTGTGAAAGGGAGTCTGTCCCCTCAATGATTGGCTACTATGAACAATAAGTCTTCCCGCCGGTCGCATTGGCTGGATTCTAACGGATTACGCTGCTCGCATTGGCTGGCCTAGCTGCGGTAGTGGTAGAAATTTGAAACTACGAGCAAAAAGCTATCGGAAATGGCAAGAAGATAGAATTACTGAAATTGAATAGTGATAATGGAATCATTTCATTTCACTGTTGACATATCTGTAGCAAAAACCAAACAGGGAGACAAATGTTTCTAGCCACAGCTTCATTACAACGGGAACACAGCCATTTGATTCAAAAGCTCTGGAATGAAAGTTGTACCTATCTGATTGGTTTAAATCGTTTAATTATCGATCAAGCTTAGTGGTGTGTGAATTTCACTTCCGTGGAAATAAAATTGAGCAAAATAGGGGACAGACTGCCTGTAAGCCAACAATCTAGTCCTTGCATTAAGATCACGCCTTTTCAGACTCGTACAATGCCTGCCAAAAGCACTTGGAACACCCACCAATTTACGCTGCATTTGATATCTTTCATTCCTTTCATGAAAAAAAATTGCTACTTCCGCCCCCTTTCCCCTCAAACAATGTTGATGATTTAGAGAAATATCATAAAAGAAGCGCAAAAGAAAGTGCTTCCTAAAATCCTAACCCGTTTGATAGTAAACCAACATCGTTCCATGGGGGAGAGAGGGATGATTGGTTTTGACCTTGGAAATTGATGTCAGTGTTCCAAGACTTTTGGCAGGCATTGTAGTACAAATCACGCCATTACAGACTCAAACATAACACCATTAATTTTTTTAAATCTAATGACATGCTATGTTAATCTCAGGGGTCTTGCACTAAAGGTTACGTAGAAGTTACACATACATCAGGAATCTTTCTTCGATTTTCCAACAGGATGTATGCATCTGTCCAAAGAAACACGAAAGAAGAGCGGAGTACAAGACAGCAAGAAATGATGGACAGGGAATCACGTGATTCGCTACGCAAAGAATTCTCGTCAGAAAACATCAGACTAATGTCACTGAAGCGAACAGAAATGGACATGCAGCCACTGCATTGGGCGATTCTCACTTTCAACGGAATAAACAATTTGCGTGGAACCTGTGGTGGTGTTTATGAGATCAGGGAAGGCAACGAGATCATCTACATAAGTGGCTTACCACAAAACGTTCACATACGTGACGCTCTCAATGCACATTTCAGTGGCAATGATGGCCTGGCATTGGGCGCATATCTCACTGGTGAAGCATTTCACAACTGGATGCATATATACGTTCGATTTTTGCCTTCGAAAACACCATCCGAGGATGCAAGGCTTTTGCTGCGATATCATCAATTGAAAAACATGGGAAAGGTTCCTCGTTTTAATTAGTAGTCGACCTTCGTTGCAACGATGAACTTTCCTATGTCTTTGGCCCTCTACAATATCAACTTTCCACGGGGATAGGTGTGGGAGAGAATATTGAAGGAACAATAAGATTATGACAAATAAAAATCTATTAAATTGTAGTCATCGAAAAAAGCTGCTTTCTGTTCTTTGAGATCACTACACCGTACACAACAATAAGACGGATGAAAGACAACAGAAGCATAATAACAAATATCATTAAATTCATTAAGAAAAAATGGCTAAATTATTCTAGATTAAAGCACTTGTTACCCGTTTTACAGCCACAAAAATATGATCAACAATCGAACGGAGATTGAAAGCTAATGAAGAATCGATATTTAACTACGGTGTTATAGTATGACGAAGGAAATCAAGCGATATTTACAATAGCAGCTTTTGCGGTCACTGTTTCATGATATATTAAAATTTTGACCTTCATTGATTATACATAATAATATTTCCAACAACAACTGGCCAAAATGTCTGGCATGGATTATAATTGCAGTGAAACCTTTATATAAAGGACACATACAGGACAGAGTTACGTTTGTTGAAGGGAGTTGTCTTCTGGTTACTTCTTCAAGACTTTGGTAGCAAAAATTAGAATAAAACGATTAGGACGTTAATTGCGTGTCTTTTATTTAATTTTTAATTGTATTAAAAGTTTTAGCTTCTGTTATCACAAAAACAGTTCAATTTCAGTTTCTCACAAAACGGCAGACGAGCTGGACCAACTAGAAGTTGTATAAGGGTTTTTCAAGGTGATATTCGAAAGAAGAAGTCAATTGCGGGTTTATTATACATTACATTTGGTTTACATCTAAGGGTATAAAAACACCAAATCAGGCTGAACTGGTTGTACAGTGATGTTGTGCATTATAAGGGTGTAAATAAAGGCACTAGGTAAATACACAAAATCTTATTTCCAGCAGTCAATGCTGTTTTGCCATCCCGTTGTGAATGGAAATCAAGTGGTGGTATTTCTTGGATGACAGCTTACATAACTATATAATATTAGTACAATTATCTACAACTGGCGATTTCGCCTGGAGGAATTGAGTAAATAATTTTAGAAGGCAAGTAAATTACAGCTACAGACTTACTGATTTTCAAAATAGTCAATGTGATGCACTGGTGATTATTTCCCAATTAACAAAAGATCTCTTGGTAAAAACAACGAACAGCAAATTGTATGTTACTGTGCGTGGTCACACCACAATGCACTTGACGAATTTTGAAGATGCTTCCTTTAACTGCGATTTGATAAGTTGAAAGATGATAAAAATGGCTCAGTACGAAAATGCTTTTTTAGAGCAGATTAGGACAAGGGTGTCGAAGAATAAATAATTTATTTTAGTCTTGATATCTTTCTAAAAGTAAGGAAAGATAGGCACTAAATACTACAGCATGGAAAACAGTGACAAAATCACCCCACCTGGACGATTAAAATAAAACCCTTGCATTAGAGAAGTGTGAATGAGAGTGGTAATTGAAAAACCTTATTATTATTGTCTTCCTTTCAAACTGCACGAGGGAAAGAATGCACCAGCTATGAACACGAAAGAAGATATTGCAAATAATCTGAAAGTCGACATTGTGCCTGCAAGTCTATACCGTTGCAATATCTGCAATTTTGTTGGCATGATATGGGACAAACTCGATACCATCCACTGACATTCTTACTTCTCTTGTAACTCCATCTCTTATGCTAAGAGACACCTGGTGTTCAAGAAGTCTTTTTTCCTGTTGAAAAAATTTTCTATATAAAATATTAAAACGCACAATGCAAATCGATCTTACAGAAATCAAATTGATCGCCAGACAGAGATCTTAGAAATGAGACAACAAGCCCCTAATAAAGATTACCCCAGAGAGGGTTATCCCCTTGGTAAAAAGCGCCTTTTATGTGAACCTGGTCAGTAAAGCATTCTGTGTTTGTGTCAAGACAAAGGCTGGAGATCATTTCTATTAAATTTTCCCTGCTATCTACGAGGAAGTACATCAAAATCAAGATGAGTATGAAAGTTTTGTTCACCTGATCTACAGTTGTCACAAAGTCATCCAATATGGGGTTACTATGTTGACCAATAGCCTTTCTCCGATATCTATCATGAACCGGGCATGAAGCACACAGGTAGATAGCTTTGGCAAGAGCATAACCACCCCAGTTGCTCACACCAGCAGTGATTAAGTAGTCACACGAAACTGTACAGCCAATCTCACTGCCATGCTTGACGTTGGCAGCAACTCTCTCTAGTACTTTACCCATGCCGATTTCATTGCCACCATCTCCAATGCCAATGGTTACAATTTCTGGATGTTTCTTTGCTAAAGAAGAATTTCGAAGGTATTCAAAGGACTGTCTCAAGGAGATGTTATTCCAATTCACAATTTATTTGAAGTCCTTTAAAACGTTTCAAAAGCCATGACAATTCAGCCATGACAGTTCAGTCATGACTCATTAAAATTAGTTGCAATAGAAATATTGGAAACCCTCAAAGGACTGAGGACAAATTCAAAAATTGTTTGCTTGAAATTTTATTAAAATAGAATTTTATTTAAGATAAATTATTTCAATTTCTACAACATACAGTTAACTATCTCAGGTAAAAAAAAAACTTTGAAACAACTTTACCTTCAAGGAAGAGCTCATCAACAGCATCAACGCTTCCAGAAATATCCTTCTTATTCATTGTGCAATACTGCCCATTTGAGTTTCTGCCAGGACGCTCAATACTGATAAGATGAGAGAAACGCTTTTGGTCCATTAACTCATCGTACAACATTTCGGCAGCATTTTCAACAGTAACCACAGACACCTCATGCTTAAGAATACCATTAGCATGACACCACATCAGGATATCCTTGAAAATTTGCTTTTCGGTTTTGCCAACAATTAGAGTTACTGGTTTTCCCAAAGCTTGGACAGCTTTCGCAATAGATACTGCACCAGAAATACCATCATTTTCAATGGATGGAGTTAGCTCAGGTAAGCAAGAAAATCCTGTCAATATAGCTACAGACTTGGCACTTTGAGAAATGCTCAAAGCAGCAGAATGCAAATCAGTCTTTTCTTGCAAAAACTGCACACCACGATTGCCAGGGTCATCGATTATGAGACTCTCCAGCTTTGTAATTTTGTCCCATGTCTGGCAAGAAACAAGAGAAAAGATCTTTCTAGTTTTGTCCAAGCACACGGTTCTAGCTTCAGGGTATGTTTTTGTATTGAGCAGAGCTCGTGCGTCTTCATTGGTTCGATCAGTAATAAACATACATCCTGGGGAGTGACAAAATGCAATCGGGATTCCTAGAAAACATATACAATGAAGTTAATAAAGGCTTGACTGACAAGAGTTGGATGAATGGAACTGGAGTCTAGCAAGATTTTGAAAGCGTTTTGAAGAGGATTATGAAATCTAATAGTAACACTCCTCTTGTGGCAAGAGCTGAAAAAGTGTGGAAACAACAAGTAGTCATATTAGTTAAAAATTAATTTGCAAAATAACATATCATAGACTGATACAAAAAAGAGATAAAAAACAAAAGTTGGAGCTTTGAATAGGTGTCAGGGCAATAAATCAAATTGAGGGGTCAAACTTTATTAGAAACTCGACAATGACAAATACTAGATGTCACATAAATATTCAGAACTTTTGCTAGCTAAAATGCATGAAAAAATTAAAAAAGTATTGAAAAAAACTATAGGAGCTGTCATTAACCAGAAGAATAAAATATTATATTATGTGGTGCTTTTTGTTCCCCATCCTTAAGTTTAGATCAGAATCCTATAATATATCTGATTGAAATGATAGGATGTTGGCTGGACAACAGAGATGTAGAATAAGAAAGAGTACCACAGACATTTGTTTTTAACATAGAAACATAACAAAAAATAATATTTTGCTGATTTTGAAGCCATATTCCAATTCCAAAAATTGAAACTCAATACTATTTGTCTGGGAATCAAATATAAAGGAAAAGCATGCTTACTAGCAGAGCCAACTGCATGGCCTGATGTAACACCACATGCCCAGAACACTGGAATATCATCTTCTCTTAATGTCACAGTGTCACCAATTGTCTCAGCACTATGAAGATCTTCAATGCCAATTTCTGCAGGATTACCTATGTGAATTGGAGCACCATGTGCAAAGTCCATTTGCAATGTCTCATTTACAGCTTTATCAATCAAGGTTTCTGGCAAAGGTCTCATTGAAACCACCATGTTGCAACTGAATGGCCCAGCCTCAAAACATTGTATATTTGTTGTGTACATTGAAACATTTTTTCCTTCTTCGATATTCCGAATAGGGATACCAGCAGAAAGTAGCCTTTTCTCAAAAGAGAAGCTGCATCCAAGATAAAATGCGACCATATCATCCCAGTTGTAATTGGCTAGACCTTCCACATCTAATTGAGTTGTTCCATTTACATACACTTTGTAAGCAGATAAATCAGTTCTAGAAATAATATTGACAAATCATAACATAATAAATCATAATGTTGCTGTCATTTGAGAAGATCATTGAAGTTTGATCAACATTGTTTCAAAAAATTATTTTGCTTCCAGATTATGTTTTGAGAGACTCATTAAATAGCTCTCCATGGCTTTTTTATGCCTTTCTAAAGAAGTCCTAATCAATATGACCTAAGCAACTCTTTAAATAAATAGCAAACAACTATGGTAATAATGCAAGTTTTGGAAACAGAAAGGTCTGTCCAGCATGGACGAAGGATCTAACACAAAAAATTTTGAAAAAAAATTACAGAACCTATAATTCATTAGAAGCACTGACATTTCAAGTATAGAGGCAGTCTTGAGTCATACAGTTTAGAACTTATCACAAGTAATTAAATCAAAATAATATACCTTATATCTGAGCCTTTTGCTAACAAAGGTGCTTCAGCTTCTCCAACTTTGCTCTGATACAATAAGGGGCATGGACCACTGTTTAAATCTACAAATTTTCGGAAATCTGCAGCATATTCCCTAGAAACAACTGCAACATTTGCTTGCAAATATTCTCCACATATTCCAGAGGTTGGGCATTTTCCAAGTTTATTTTCTCTGAACAAAAGACGCATACTTTCTGGGGTTTCATTTTCAAATGATTTGGAACCCATACCTGTTGGTAAAACGTAAATTTGTGATCATTTCATCATAGAATCAATTAACAAGAGCATTAAGAATCAATCATCATAGAAGCATTACTTGTTGAAGATAAATGTAACATTTTCTTTATACTTCCATTTTTTCTTCAATGTTCTTACAGATTTAAACTAGGAGAATATGTTTTACAAATATAGAATATTCATAGTGCGAAACTTTTTAGTTAACAGGGTTTAAACTAGAATTTAGGGTTTAAAATATACCTGTTGGAATGCCAGTTTTTGAATTTGAATGAAAAAAGAATCTGGCAAATTAAATAGTTTTCTTTTGTAGACTGAAAGTGTCCAAAAATCGAGAAACGCACAAGGACATACCCAGACTTTGAAATTCGCATTAACTGAACTTCAAAACATAGCAACAACAATTCTATCGGACGCACATATTGAAGACATAGAATGTATTCTTACATTCATTACAATTTGATATGTAACTTACTTACTTAGCTTAAATTACTATCCATTACTAAGAATTCCCTTCTGCTAAAATCACTATTTGAAATGAAAAGCTCAGGAGATTTAGTCTGTTGCGAGGCCGCTTACCAAGTAAACAATTATAGCTATTTCTTTTTCCTGTGAATGAAAAATGTTTGCTTCACCTCACAGAAGTAATTTACAATAGCTTAAGTAAAAACCTACTTGAAAACAGTTCCAGGTAGACAAGCTTCTGAGGTACTATTCGGAGACCGATGCAGGCACGAGGACTTCGCATGCAAGTCATTCAAAAACATAATCAAAACAATGGGGTGGACAAGGCATGAGTCCGAGGCAAACGAACAGGAAGCACTGACAGGAAGCCCCATTGTTGTTGTTGTTGTGTATTCGAAGAGAAAATGAATATGTTACAATTTTACTACAGGGTGAAAAAGAAATGTTTCCCTTCGCTGATAAAAATCCTTTTTGAGCCGACGAACAATGTTTTGGGCTGAGGGGAGGGGAGGGGGAAAATCGCCCCTATGTCCCCTATGATGATACCCCTGATAGGTTCCCCATGCACTTCTCGAATGTACTTCAATAATGTACTTCTAATCAGTGGGTATTTTCCTTGCAACCCCTAGCTTTAGGAGGTACTGAACCCGTCTAGGGTTGTTTTGTTCCAAACACGATTTCAAAGTTCTGTTTTTATAAAGAACTTGTTATAAGAAACTAGAGCTACAAACTAAAGCTGCATACATCTGGACTCTAAAAGACGTTGACCACTCCATTTCCTGGCGCATTCCCTCAACAAAGTCATCTTACAACAATTCAAGCAAAAGACGCAACCTTTGCCTTAAAGAAAAGACCCTCATCATCTGCCACCCCGAATTATAGACACTCAATAAACGCAACGAACTCTGCCGCCATAGAAACAAAACATTATTATGTAACACCTAAACCTTTTCAAGTACCCATCGCCTCTATTTCACTTTTTGTATAGCCTCACACAGTGGCGGACTGGCAACCATTTGACCCACCGGGAAAAGCAGCCAAAAGGGCGCCAATAGGTGCTAAAGTCTCAAAACTTTAGGCCTTGTAAAACGGGCTCGGAAAAACTTTGCTTTAGCCGAGAATCAGTTTGTTGCAAGCATTGTCACATGAAAAGAAACGGGGGATCGGGGGATGACCCCCGGAAATATTTTTGAAATCACCCTATTTAGAATGTCGGAACCTGCCTCATGTTGAAAATCAAAGTTTTTTATTCGCAATTGGCATTGGCATGAAGAAGATTCTCAGTCAAATTGACTTTATTTGAAACGTCTACACGGCTGAAAAATTTGTAGGTACCATTAATTCCATCGCGGGGGCCCCTTAGTTATGATAAACAAAACCCTAATCTCAGGAAAAACATTTTGGGCTTTTGGTGCATCAGCCCTTGTCTTGCCTGAGCAATGACGCAATTTTATGGTCGGTGTTTGATTCCAGGGAAAAAATTGCCTCAGTTTTTTACCCCGATAATCAGACTGATACACCTGTCACACAATCGAATGACTGTGTGAGAAGAAGTGAGACAGGAGAAGGCAGAAGGAAGTTTATAACGGGATATAAGCAGGAGGAGAAGTACAAGGGGACAGGGATGGGAGGGGAAAACGCGTACAAACAACGCGTGAGTCTTGCTGCAAAATATGACATGACCTTAGCTGCATCACTGTACTTAAACAAATATGCCAGGAAAAGACCACCTAGAAAATACCACAAGGTGATTAGCAAATAGCTAAGGTAATATGATATCCACAGCCTACTAAGGATATACGTGTGGGACCACCCGATTCTAGAAAAGGGGAATCTGGGCACTTTCCCAGCGGGTATTAACTCGAATTAAACGATTAATTCCCATTATGATGTATTGCCCTCAATTTTAGGTATCAAATGATGACTTTTCGGCTAGCGAGACACTATCTTCCAAGATTTTACAAAGAAAACAAATTCTCTAGCCTAGGAGACGAGATTCTTTTCGTTTAAAATCGATCTCGAAATCTTTAGAAATTTGACGAAATACATTGACTTCATTCTCATAAATTTTCGAAAGTTTTGCAGCATATCTTTAAACAAGTAAAGGGGTGCCTCAGCACCCGCTAGCCTAATGACTGTGCTGCTCCTGCCTTTACGCTAGAGTTACAAATCATTTACAAAAGATATGATGCCAGTGCATCAGCATGTGGAATTATGATCAGGTATTGAATATATGCTTGAAACTGTAGACTTGTCCGAAAAGTATCTGTTAACATATCTTGGACAAATGGATTTTAAGAGACCCTGCTGCCGTCCGTTTTGCGCAAATTGATGATTTTGCAGATTGAACGCTCCTTCTGTATGAGAAACTGTGCGTTGACATGGTAAAAAGGATAAAGAATTTCTTAAGAAAAGGTACAGTCTCTATTCCGGAACAAAAGTTTGAAGGAAGATTGGAATACTTTAATAGATAGTTGTAAATTTGAAACCAGTTTTTTTTCAAAACAGCCGCTTTAACTTTCCATTAAGTTTTTAAGGAAGGTTCATACTTAAGGGCATGAAATCGCAACAAATTCCGTATAAAGTTATTTAAAAAGTTATCAAGATTACTGGCTCCAATAAGTCATAATTTCTTTTGGGCACAAAATTTCTGGTTGTAACGTACAAAAAGTATGATGCCTATGAGTTTTTAGTTGAATTGCAAAATAAAATAGCTTGCCACCATTAGGACGTTCAGAAAGTATTGTCCTCTATCGTACCTAGAACAGTTTTCACTATTAAGGGATAGTTTATGGCTCAACCAATCTTTGATTACGTAATATGTGAACGTCCCCATACCCAATAGCCAACAGATCAATAATTTTATCCAGTTATAACCATTTTGATTGGAAAGATTACAGGGTTGTGTTCAATTTATCTTTCCAAGGTGCGAGCCCTCAGTTATTGGATATCAGGCACCAGGAATAGTTTGCTTTAGCCATAAGTCAAAAATAATATGGTTAGTCATAAGTCATGGGTTTCACAAAATTATTAGTCACCTCAATAGATATCAAATTAATTCAAGTATTGCGCACTGGCTTGACAAATTGAAAGCTTACGAGGGTTGCAAGCGAGAGTAGGCTTCTGGCTGCTACATATGAACAATTTTTTGGCACTATTAAATTTGAAAACATTTTTAACATACTAAAAACTTTTCCGTCTGAACCTCTTCAGAGTATAAAACGAATTTTTCATCTTGTTCTTTTGGACCCTTATTCTGACGTTATATGCTCTCAAAAGTTTCATACGAAAAAGATTTGAGTATGTTTAAAATTTTTGCTTTTTTCAAAGTCATTTCAAAATAAATATGTTCTTTTCAAGGTTTTCGAAAAATCTTACAGAATTTGCTGATCAAAATTTCGTCTTCAATGAATTTTACAATAACAAAGATCGGGAAACTTAACAATTAATCTTAATTTTGCTAAACTTGAAAGCGAAGCTGAACTTTTAATGGAAACGTACTTTAGACAGGAGGTCAATTGATGATTGTAATCAATTTTAGTTTTATTCGAAGATAAGTTGTCTTTTGAATGTTTTCAAGTTTTTGAAAAAAATAACTTGGGGCCAAGGGCGCACCGGGAAATTTCCCGGTGTCCCGGTGGGCCAGTCCGCTTCTGGCCTCATACATTATGTAACACCTTCTGTACCGACTTATTCATTTATACGAAGAATACTTCAGTGTAGCAACATCTCCTGAAGAGTGAGTCATTCACGAAACAGGCTTGTATAGATAAAACAAGTAGTTTTATTTTCTCCAACTCTATGCTATTTATAAATATATATAGAAATTTGTCTTTTGATACTTCCGTAGCACAGTGCTCAATACGTTAGCACGTAGAGCGTGATATATCATAGATTGAAGAAAGTAAAACTACATGGTTTATCTCTACAAGCCTGTTTCGTGAGTAACTCACTCTTCAGGAGATGAAGAGTGAGTTACTCACGAAACAGGCTTGTAGAGATAAACCATGTAGTTTTACTTTCTTCAATCTATGATATATCACGCTCTACGTGCTAACGTATATTGAGCACTGTGCACGGAAGTATCAAAAGACAAATTTCTATATATATATATATATATATATATATTATATATATATATATATATATATATATATATATATATATATGTAAACATTCATGTAATTGTTACGATGGCCCATAACATAATACAAGCAAAACAGATTCGCACTGAAACAAACTGATTCACGCTGACAGAAAAACTACTCGCACGTAATTCAAGCGAGTCACAAAGAAAGAAATCTTATTCGCACAAAATTAAAGCGAGTCGCAGAAAAGAAAACTGATTCGCAAAAAAATTCAAGCGAGTTGCGCAAAAAGAAAAGAGACTCGTATAAAATTGAAACTCCTAATTACCCTTTGTACCCGAAATATAAAGATTTAACGCATTTATCTAGGTTTTTTGGAGCCAAACGTTTTCCTATAACTTATAATTATTAGTCATGTTTATCATATAGCCATATAGTTTGTGAACTTCTACACTGTACTGTATCTTCACAAAGGGTTCCCAAAGAAATGTACGTTTATACGTTAACCGAAAAAGTACAATTTAGCATTGAATTTGTTAGCATTGAAAGTACAATTTAGCTGCTCGCCAGGTTTTACCTCTTGTCTGCATTCTATCTTGTCTGCACTGATGTTCTTTTTATATTTGATGACTGAAAATTCACCATTTTACTGCTCAACTGGCCAATCCATTTTTTAGGCATAGGCTAACAATTGCTGCATTTCTCATAGTTGAATTAATAACAGATTTTGAAAAAATTATATTTTCAACTGCATTTTGGTTCGGGTCCAGACAGCATTCCTTGTGACACACAGGGAAGATCGCCTCCGCGAATAAGTTTTTTGGGTTACTAATCCATGAAACAGGGTGAAGGAAATCAAAACATTAATTTTAAAAAGGAAAGTGTGCTGAAAGTTCAATAAGGTCAAATTCATGGTGCCGTGATGTTGTGCATCAAAGAGGATGTAAACAAAAAAAAGGTTCTAGGTATACAAGCAAGAAACATTTGATATAATTTGCTCCATTGTAAACTGAAGAAGACAGACTATTATCGTTTGCCACTCACTAGCTATGAACACGAAAGACGACGTTACAAATGATATGAAAACAGACATCTTGCCTGCAAGTCTATACCGCTGCTATATCTGCAATTTTGTTGGCATGATATGGGACAAAGTCAATACCATCCACCGACATACTTGCTTCTTTTGTGATGCCATCTCGTATGTTAAGAGACACCAGATGCTCAAGAAGTTTCTCTTCCTGTTAGATGCAATTTACAAATCAAAACTATACCGATATTGAGCGATTCAAAAGAACCATAAAAAATAAATCCAATAAGATTCGCATTTCAAATCAGTGTTAAAGACAGGGTTTCATTGCAGCTTCAAATGTCAGAAAAAGATCATGTAAATTGGACAACAAGTATGAATCCAAGGTTTCGTCAAAAGAGGTCATCCCCCAGCATTAGGCACTTATTCGCGTGGAAAGTGCCAGTAGTACTTAAGTAGTTTCATAAAGCATTCGGTGTTCGAGTCTGCACAAAGACTGGAGATCATCTGTTCTCAGTAAAAATAAAGCTTGATATAAACGTTTTGCTCACCTGCTCAACAGTTGTCACAAAGTCATCCAGTATAGGTTCACTAGGAAGGCCAAGCGACTTTCTCCGATATCGGTCATGGACTGGACACGAGACACACATGTAGATAGCTTTGGCAAGAGCATAACCACCCCAGTTGCTCACACCAGCAGTGATTAAGTAGTCACACGAAACTGTACAGCCAATCTCACTGCCATGCTTGACATTGGCAGCAACTCTCTCTAGTACTTTACCCATGCCGATTTCATTGCCACCATCTCCAATGCCAATGGTTACAATTTCTGGATGTTTCTTTGCTAAAGAAGAATAATGTTATTCCAATTCACAATTTATTTGAAGTCCTTTAAAACGTTTCAAAAGCCATGACAATTCAGCCATGACAGTTCAGTCATGACTCATTAAAATTAGTTGCAATAGAAATATTGGAAACCCTCAAAGGACTGAGGACAAATTCAAACATTGTTTGCTTGGCATTTTATTAAAATAGAATTTTATTTAAGATAAATTATTTCAATTTCTACAACATACAGTTAACTATCTCAGGCAAAAAAAACTTTGAAACAACTTTACCTTCAAGGAAGAGCTCATCAACAGCATCAACGCTTCCAGAAATATCCTTCTTATTCATTGTGCAATACTGCCCATTTGAGTTTCTGCCAGGACGCTCAATACTGATAAGATGAGAGAAACGCTTTTGGTCCATTAACTCATCGTACAACATTTCGGCAGCATTTTCAACAGTAACCACAGACACCTCGTGCTTAAGAATACCATTAGCATGACACCACATCAGGATATCCTTGAAAATTTGCTTTTCGGTTTTGCCAACAATTAGAGTTACTGGTTTTCCCAAAGCTTGGACAGCTTTCGCAATAGCTACTGCACCAGAAATACCATCATTTTCAATGGATGGAGTTAGCTCAGGTAAGCAAGAAAATCCTGTCAATATAGCTACAGACTTGGCACTTTGAGAAATGCTCAAAGCAGCAGAATGCAAATCAGTCTTTTCTTGCAAAAACTGCACACCACGATTGCCAGGGTCATCGATTATGAGACTCTCCAGCTTTGTAATTTTGTCCCATGTCTGGCAAGAAACAAGAGAAAAGATCTTTCTAGTTTTGTCCAAGCACACGGTTCTAGCTTCAGGGTATGTTTTTGCATTGAGTAGAGCTCGTGCGTCTTCATTGGTTCGATCAGTAATAAACATACATCCTGGGGAATGACTAAATGTAATCGGGATTCCTAGAAAACAAACGCAACAAAGTAATCAGAGAGAAGAGTTGAATGAATGCAACTGGAATCTGGCAAGATCTTGAAAGCATTTGGAAAGGAAAACAATACTTTGATATAACTATGTTTTAATTGTAGGTGCTGAAAGATCTAAGGAAATCAAAGAGAAAGTTGTTAACAACTGGCTCTTTCTTCTGATAGATAACGTAGTTGAGTGTATGCTTATGTAAAAGAGTAAATATAAAGTTTCATCATTAGGTTGGTAATAAACAATAGATCAGAATTTTTTAACAACATTTACATATATCACGGCATCGATGACGACTTCCATGAGGTCCAAATAGATGCGGATAGAACTGGCGTAGTAACGGGATCAGTTGTCGGTTCCATTTGGAACTTTTTGGAACCACGCTGCATTGCAGAAAATACCTGCGGAGCCTATGGTACTTTAAAGAGAAATACGAACCATTGAAACAGAATAAGTGACAGTTTTACCTATTGTGATTGGGACACTAGGATGTATATCATATTGTTTTGAAGGATACATGGGAAAGATTGATGTAAAGTTATAAGTGATACAAAAGACGGCACTGCTAGGAACAGCAAGGACTTTGAAACAGAGATTGTCTATGTGAGAAACTTGAGATGACAGGATGGGACCTTTGTCAGTTTGTTGCTGAACAGACCTTAATTATACAGACCAATTGACATCTAGGTTTCAGTTACTCACTAACAATACTAAAATGATAATAACAGCACAGGTTTGGTGTGAACTGTCTAAAGGGAAACATCAAATCATTTGTTTTATAAGTACGACTTAAAGCTCTATGAAAAGAATGGGGGAGACCATGAAGGATTTGAGTGCTGCGCAGCAGCACCGTGTAGCTATGGAGGAGCTCAAAGTATTTCCATAGCAACACGATACAGAAAAGCAGCAGGGGACGAAGGGAGAACAGAAATGCAGGTCGCAAGCCCGCGAGACATCTGTGTCTAAACATAGGAAAGACAACTCTATTGATTGCATGAAAGTCATAGAATGCTGGAGATTTTTCTCGGTTTTGCTGTTGCGGAGCTCGGCTGGAGACAAGCTGGATATGCTGGAGTCTCTAGCAGGATGCGGGAGACTTGGCAACTATGCAGAATAAAAGGAGGAGATGGAATCCAACATTCTGCAGCTATGAAAGAGAAAATCAGAAAAAAGTACAAGCTGAGAATCAAATTGCTTTTCAAAATTGGGAAAGGCATGAATGAACAAAAAATCCAAAAAGAGTCTTGCTAGAAGCATCACATTTTCTGAGGAGAGATCTATCTATAACCTGCCTTCGGTTAACATGAATATAAAATGTTATAAAAGCACACTGCATATTGTTTGCAAAAATGATGATAGATGGGAAAATCAAAGAAAGAAAGGGCAGACTATAGATCTACAACTGGCCTTGCAGTTACAGATTATAGATTGCTGGTATGTCTCAGTGCCGTATTAAGTTGAAGATAAAATAGTATGTAACTCAAATCAACAAGTAAAATAAAAAGTGATGTCAGAGACCAAAACAATTTTACATAATTTTACAATTTTATATTTTAAAAACAAAACCTACCTGACACAAAAAAGGGGAGAAAAATTCTCTTTGGAATCCGTGGTTACTATAAAGGGAAATGAGTAGAAACGACTAGAAACTAGAAGAAACAAGTAGAAACAACTAGGAAACAAGTAAGAAACAACTAGAAAACGAGTAGAAACAAGTAAAAACGACTTGGAAAAATTTAAACTGCGGCACAGTCTTATTTATTTAGTGGAAATCCTGCATTGATAGCTATGATAGTAGATGTTGAAATGGTAATTTTGTAAAAGGAATTGACCTATGAGAGCCTGATATGAAGTGCAAGCATTGTAAGAGCAATCTCACTGGCATTGGGATTAACATGGAACAACTACTGGGAAGGTCGAAATAAAGCAATTTTAATTCTCGGCTAATAATCAAGCCTTTTCCCCCCTGAATTCAACTGCTTTAGGAACTTACCGAAACTTTATAGAGGCTTTAGGGTTAGGTTCCCGAACAAAACATTGTTGAAGAAGTAGATTGTCAACCTATACAGCTTGTTCCTCTAGTATATTGGAGTTTGTTCTTTTAGTTTCTGTTATCGTTTCTTCTCGTTTGTATTCGTTTCTTGTTGTTTCCTGTTGTTTCCTGTTATAGTAAATGCGATTAAATAATATGATACTTACTAGCAGCTTCAAGAGCATGGCCTGATGTAACACCACATGCCCAGAACACTGGAACATCACCCTCTCTCAATGTCAAAGGCTTATCAGCCACCTCGTCGTGAAAGGCAATGGAAGAGCTATTAAGGTCTTCAATGCCAATCTCTGCAGGATTGCCTATGTGAACTGGAGCACCATGCGTGAAGTCCAATTGCAATGTTTCACTGACAGCTTTATCAATGAGGTTTTCTGGCAATGGTTTCATTGAAACTAACAAGTTGCAACCGAATGGTCCTGCCTCAAAACAAGGAATATTTGTTGCATGCATAGAAACATTTTTTCCTCCTTCTATGTTAGGAATAGGGTTATCAGCAGAATGATATTTTTTCTCAAAAGCAAAGATACATCCAAAATAAAATGTGACCATATCATCCCAGTTGTAATTGGCTAGACTTTCCACATCTTCACAGGCTTTTCCATTTACAAAAACATTGTAAGCAGGTAGATCAGTTCTAGAAACAAAATCAATCTATTGGTAAGTGGGAAAATAAATTTCTTGGCATAAAAACATTAGTACATTAAATAGCACTCTGACTTACAAATTACCATCAGGTACCTCAGAGCAGGGACGCTGGGGGGTCTTTGCAAAAAGTACCAAATATTAAGAAAATGAACCAACAGTAAAACCTCTTTTTATTCAGTTTCAGCTCTCCCCTCGCCTTTTAGACCCCCATATTTTTAGAACCCCCACATTTCTCACGCTCTGCATTGCCTGACAATGCAGTTTTTATATAACAAAATCAACAATAACATTTCTACTGATTTTGATTAGAGTTAAAAATTGAGTAGAGAAATGGTGATTCTGATGATTTTTGCGATGCAGAGATTGGTCCAGTTGGTAGATACAGTTTGATAGTTTGATTTATAACCAAACAATAATAGTTACTTTTCTAAACTATATCAACAGGATATCGGCCTCTCGTCGAGATGAATGATAAATGCAAATACAGTTATGTGACAAGAGTTATGGAATTGGCCAAACAGAAGAGTTTATCCAACACAAATGCAGGATCCAACACCAAAAATTTATGCAAAAATAAAACAGAGCCACGGTCATAAGTCTAGTATTGATTTTGCAGTTAAGAAACAGTTTCAAGCAAAACAGTTGAGGACTTGTTGCAAGACATTAAATCAGTTTTGTACCTTATGTCTGAACCTTTTGCTAACAAAGGAGCTCCAACTTCTCCAACTTTGCTCTCGTACAATAATGAGCATGGGCCACTGTTTAAATCTACAAATTTTCTGAAATCTGCAGCATATTCACTAGGAATAATTGCAACATTGGATTGCAAATGTTCCCCACACATCCCAGCAGTTGTGCATTTCCCAAGTTTATTTTCTCTGAACAAAAGACGCATATGTTCTGGGGTTTCATTTTCAAATGATTCGGAACCCATACCTGTTGGTAAAAAAATTGTATTTTGAATCAGTTTGATCAACAAAGCCTGCAATGAGGTCAACAAGAGTTAAAAAAACTGAAAATTGGGGCACAGTAAATTAGTAGGGGAACAAGATTTCAAAAAAAATCTCAGACATTTTCTTATTTCCATGGGATTCCAATCCTTGGGCCAATCTATAATTAATACTGACAGTTGCAGCAATGAAAGGGGGCAGGGGGCACAGCCCCAAGACATTATTTTATTTGCCATACCCTCTAGTTCTTCAAAAATACTCACTTTGAGTATGCTCTTGTTACAGGGTTGCCAGATTGGCCATTTTCAGTTTGTCAAGTAGAGTCACATGACAATCACATGACATTCGTAATTGCTTTGAATAATCGCTTTTGACATTCTTAACGAACTTACTGCTGAGTTATGTTAGTTTTCGTGTAAATGCTTAAAGGTTATGTATATATTTCGCTACTGAAAACACTTGTCTCTTCTCTGGCTACTCAAGACAGTTCAAATCTTCTAATTTGGCCTTTTAGTTAGATTGCGGGGAAAATTTGTTTTTTGGCTTAAATTTGGCATTTTTTCAGCAGAAATTTTTGGCCTTCATTTGTTTTTTAATAAACTTTAGTACCTTGTAGTAACAGACAAACTTTAAATGAAAAGAGCGGTAATATACGATGTAAACCCTAATGTCAAACATTACAGAAAAACAAAGGAGAAAGTTTCTCAGCTTTTTAGCCTAAGTTAGGAAAATTATGCAAAATGTGCATGCATGGAAATACATATTACGTTTGTACAGGACGTTTTTGAAAAGGTTTTTGATTTGACTTTCTATGTGCATTTTGGGCGTAGTTAGGAATTTAACACTGGGGAAGGGGGGCGAAATTTATTGATAAACATATAGAAATGACTATATTAAAAATACTGTGCAGTGGTAATAAGGCTGCGAACACACTGAGAGCGAAATAGCGTAGCGAAGCGAATGAGCGAATTAGCGTTCAAATAGTTTTTACTGAAAACAATACGCCTGTTCACATGAAAAAAAGAGCGATAGCGACACAGAGCGAGAAGATTACTTCTCGTGCATTTGTTCGCTGCGAACGGAAAGGAAAGATTATACCGTTGATTATACCGTTGCCATATAACCGATTAGTAACTGGGAATAGTCTGACGATACTGGTCTTCAACCAGACCAGTATGAAAGGACATGGCCTCATATTCGGGGGAGGGGCTGGTCCCCCAATAATTGCCAACTGTGCTTTATATGGAAAGCAAAATTATGGACATCTCAACACCAATATTAATTTATTTCCGACTACAATAACAAATCGAACGTAGATGACCATGTTCTGAATCTGAAATAGCCTCGTCATTCCTTAACTGCCGTACCAAATGATGATATTCACCAGATAAAAGCAAATATTCATGAAAATCAGGTCTTGCCGCTCTTTGTTTCGTGAACCAAAAATCGTCTTCCTTTTGAAAATAAAGAATTTTTAAGAAATCAACTTCAGATGAAGTCATTATTTTTGTTTTAAATCAGCCACTTCGTCATCAAACTTCAACCTGCAAAACTGTTTGATTCGCGATTTTTCGCTCACAGCATGATATTTCGTTCGCTTCAGTTCGCTTCGTTTCTCTTTTTCGTTGCAGCGTGAACGCAGCCGAAATCAAGTCATCTGGTTTAGTTCAGTCAAAGTTGCGTTTGTTATGCATACAGTTCACCTTTTAGATTGGATACATAAGAAGAGTCTGAATGGTGAAGTCTGACATTGAAAGGATAGCACCAAAAAAGGTCACGGGCCTGCTTGACAGACGAGTAAGGTTGCTTTTCAAAAAAATGATCCCTGTGGTGTTTCTCTTTCCTGCGAAAGCAAAATGAAAGTTTCATCTACCAATTGTAACATACAATAATTTAAGTAAAAACCTTACTTGAAAATAATTTAAAAGGTAGAAAGGTTCCAAGGTGTTTCTGTTCTGCGACCTATCTAGGGCAAAAGTCTCAAGACAAAGGTCACCAAAAACATTTATCAAACAATGGCATATTGGAAAAACCAGACCTCAGGATCCCTGGACCCCTAGAATCCTTAAGTGCCAGGGCACGCGACACCGGGGAGCAGGGAGGGGGGCCATGGCCCCCAACTTTTTGGCGAAGCAAGTAATTTTAAAGCTGCTGCAAAAGGGGAAAAGCCTTCTTCCCCTACTTTTGCTAGCCTTGCCCCCCTCACTTTCAAATTCGTGGAGTAAGCTCTGAGTGCTGAATACAATAGGACCCTTAACTATGAGAGATGCCACTACTTCGCACAGTTTGGGCTGTCATTGTGGCGTTCGTTTGATTACATATTGTTTACCTATTTGTCCGGGGGTCACTCTTCTTGCTTCTTGAATGATGTAGCATGTGAATTGGCGTGTTTCCCCTTTAATTCTAGGGTGCTTTTCCTGCAAGTATGGACTTTTTCCAACAAACTTGAGGCAGTGCCAAAGAGAACACACATAAATTAATGGTAGCTAATATTTCGCCCCGGCATACGATGTTTTCTTGTTCTCTGGAGAAGACAGAAGACTAAAACTTTCAAAAAGAATCGTTATTTCTTCTTCGTCATGTCTCGTAGAAACTTATGGACTGAATGTCACGAAACTGAAAAACGACGTTGCTAGACTAGACCGGGGGATACCTGTAGGTCACTAAAGTTTAACCGTACACCTACAGCTCTTATGTGAAAGCAGAATAGCCCCCGTAAAGTTAGGTTAGTAATCAAACGAACGCCAAGTTAATGACAGCCCCGACAGTTGAGCCAAGCTGTGCGGAAGTAGAAGGTATTTTTTGTATTCAGTACGCAAGGGTCCTAGCTCAGGGATCTTATGGTCTGGTTTTTACAGGATGCCATCAAACAATGGGGCGTGTCAACTAAAGAAGAGGTGCCAACCACACGAAGAGTGATAAGGACCCTTCATGTGCGGGTCAGGTCATCAAGGGCTTAGAAATCGGCCGTTCCGTGCGTATTTTGTTTTGTTGAAATCCGTCGTTCCGGTCATTTTTAGCCAAAATTCAGCTCTCAAAAACTATTGAACTGTCGATAGTTGGGTTTTTCCAGAAAAACAAAGATTTGATCAGGTACTCTTTTATAAGACAGCAGGCGAGGAATTCCGCAAATACTTAAAATATCAAAAGACCAATTTTTTAATTTTTTTCAAAAAATACTTTAAAATCGGAGATCACTCGTTAGAGCACCTTCTCTTTGCAAAATGGCGAACATTTGTTTCATTATATAGAATATTGAAATTTGAAACGCCACGTGAAATTTGAAACGCCATATGAAATGAAACACCACTCGAATTATAAAGCCATACAACAAGTAATGCCACGCAGAATGAATAAGCAATGGTAATATAATATGTTTTAGAGAATTTGAAAAGTCACAAGAAATGTTAGACTGAGGATTTAAATGCCGTTGAATGACACAATGTCATCAGAATTTAGTTAAAGACCATGCAAAATGGGGGTGAAGGCAGTGGCGGATCCAGCCAAAAATCTGACTACCGCCGAAATGAGATAGAGGGTTGACCACACCCTTTAGACCACACCCATTTCTTGGTCACACCCGATTTTCTAAAATGATTATTGCTTTCTATAATTTCTTATGTAGACCATTTTCAAAAGACAAGCGGTGCTTTACTGAATTTCATGTATCCTTACAACAAGCTTGAGAAGAAATAAATAATCTTATTCAATATTCTGAGGATGGATATTCTAAAAAAAATTTACGGCATTTAGACGAGGAACACCATAGAATTAGAAAAAATATACATTTGGCAGAATTTTGAAGTGTCGCCTAAAACTCGCATTTTAGTCGGACACTTACTTATGAAAATCAGACTTGTTGGAAATTACAAGTTTAAAAGCTAGATAAAATTTGCAATTATTGAGAGCAAATTTTGTTAAACAAAGAATCATACTTTTGGCGAACATTGTGGGCCTGACTTTTAATCCTGACGCCTTCTTAAATTTTAGAATATTCGAGTCTTAATATTCTTATAAAATATATTCCTACGAATAGTTGTGTATTGTACAAAATAATGGGTCACATCGGCTTTGAAGTTACAGTTTGCCCACTTGGAGAATATGTAGGCATCCCCCCCCCCATCTTTCTGTAACGTTTGAGCCGTGTTGAGCGGCATTACTACTCAACCCCCCCCCCATCTGAGCGGTAGTCAACTCGGTTGTTCATTGGTTGTCAACAAAATTTGTATGCATCCCTCAGGTTGGCTGTGATTTCTGTTGATTTGATTGGTTTAGGCAGGCTGACTCCCGCTCTGGTGCAGCTCGAATCCGCTCTACACCGACTCAACCCCCCTAGCTAGCAAGCCATGATTTCATCATCCCCCCATGCTAGCCTTCTATTTGCAAACATGTGGCTCGGCAATTGGCACGCAATTTCCATAGCGATAAGGATTAAAAAATATTTCTGTCTCTGTGGAAATTTCAGGCATGTTCCTAGGAAGAAAGGCTTGGTTTGCAGCGCGATCAAATATTTTCAATAATTTAATATGGTTTAATTAAAGTAGTAGGGTAAACATGAAAATGATCCTTGTTTCTATAATTTTTTGAATAATCTGACTACCGCTCGAGCGGTAATGGCGGTAGTCTGGATCCGCCACTGAAGGGCATGTGAAATCATTGACACTACACAAAACGTACAATTTTAATATAGACACAAACGACGCTCCATAATATGGAACGAGCACGTTCTTAACGTTTTAAAGAACCGAGCACAACTTTCTTATAAAATGCTCTCTCATAAGAAAAAACGTGTAGGGAATTATTGATAAAAATTGATCAAATATTTAATTTTGTGACGTCATCGCTTAGAAGTTCATGTTGTCGTTGTCGTTGCTGCTGCTTTTCATGACAACAAAAATGGTGCATTGTGCAGTGATTGGCCTTGGTCAACTTGGCTGTAGAATCGCAGGTATTCGTTTTAAAACGTGAAGAAATGGCTAAATAGTTTTATCCATGAAATAATTTGTTATATGAGACTTATTTTTAAAAAGTATATTGACTGATAGTAATATAGTTTTTATGAAGTATATAGTTTCTGTGCTGTTTCATCGTGTCATCAAATGCTTTGAAAACGCCCAATCAAACACTGGGATTTTGTAAAAGGTAAGGTAACATACTTTCCAGCCAGGGTGATAGGTAGTCATAGACGTGAGATGTTTGTTGCAACAATTGGGTTTGCTCAGGTCTCGGGTAATCAACTCATTATGCAATATCCTGCAACCCCCTTTCCAAACTCAGTATGTTCACGACAACATATTTGCTTCTCAATGAGCTAAAACCTTTTTATTTGATTTCTAGTTGAGGTTGCCTCTTATGGCAACGAAGTCAGAGCATATGATAAGGACCAGTGGCAACGAGAAACTCTTATATGCAGAGCTCAGCAACATTGGCTTCAGCTAGAACGGAAGGAGCTAGTTGACCTTGCAACAAAGTTTCATGTATTATTCCAATTTCCTGTTTACTTCTGAATTTTCTCGAATTACAATTTTATCTTGTTCAACTGCATTATCATATAAATTTTGTTATATGCCCAATAATGTCAGGAGTCATTTGTGAGCCTACAAGAATTTGTAACAAGAATTAGCTGGCAGAGAATTTGTATGTATTTAACATTTTACAAACTGAGGACAGAGCTTTTTCAGCTTAAGTGGCCATGTTATATGTCAATAGATAATTTTTAACTTTGACCAAAATATGCAAGAGAGATAACAATCTGAATGAAGAATTGACACATAATCCACAATATGCAGCAAAAACCTTGGAATGTGTGTGATCCACGAAGAGTGTTATTTGCAAGAAGCACGAGAAGGTCAACCATTGTCAAACCAGCTGGCGAGTTTCAAATGTATAAACTTATCAAAAAGAAAAATATGCTGATCATTTGTTTTTTACTTCATTTAGGAAAGAATTATCATTTGTCAAGATCTGAAATCAGCTGTTGAAAATGTTGATTTCATATTTGAAGCTGCATCAGAAAATGTAAGGCTCAAAAAATCACTGCTCAAAGGTTTGTGTGAATGTTTTTTGAGTAATTATGTTCATAATTGAACAAGTTTGTCATGAGAAAATTTTGCACAGGTATAGTACATAATGAAAAGTGTGTGCATCAAAAACAACTTTTCAGAAAAAAGCAAATTTAAATTTCTTTTTGCAGGGCTAAAAGACGTGACATGATATTAATTTGGGATGGTTTTCTAAAGTTAATTGAAAAAATAATTGGTTGATATGAAATACCCATTCCAGAATTTCATTTATGTGTTCATTGATCTGTGTATCTTATTGCTTGTTTGTAAATTTTCAATAGGAGATTTAAATGTTCTAAACCTGATGATTTAAAGTAAATTAAATACTTTTACTAGACACCACCCCTTAGGACCCCTTTATACATTTGATTTAATTACATTTATGTTGATTATTTACTAGATTTGTAATGCCTCTGCCCACTCTTCTTTAAAGGCAATTTATATTATAAATCCCTTGAAGTTGATACCACTTATAGTCACCAGGCTGAAAGTTACTTACACTTTCACAGATTTTTTCATACCAAATATGTAAAACTGTTTAAGTTAGTTATTTTTACAGCCTTATTCTGTTTACTATTACAAATTTTCAACGATGCAAGGAGAATTGAAGGGGGGGGGGGCAAAGTGTGAAAATGAGGGCAAAACAATAGCAAGCTAATGGAAATTGCCTTTTTGCAAAGGCAAGTGTGCAGGCCTCTCTGCAACTTTTCAAGCAACATTGGTGTGACTTTTACCGGAGCCTATTATGCAATGGAAAGAGCTGTTTAATTTAGCAAATTAATTAGACAGAAATATATAAAAGAAAACATACTTTTTTAGACATATCAGCAGCCTGTGGCAGTCAAACTGTTATTGGAACCAATTCACTCACCTTGTCATTAAATGAAATAACAGAAGATGCATTGTTCAATGAGGTATTCACATCTATCTATTCAATGTCATTGCTGGTGCTGGAACCCTAGAAAATATTTCCCTATTATTGCATTTATTTTTTTCATATGCTATTAGCCTTTGGCAAAAATATTATTCATTGTGTTGCGTCTTTTTCTAACTCACTTTTAAGATTTCATTTAGCATTTACTTGTTTATCTGAACTTTGTTTCAATAACTGTTATATACTTCCTAGAGAATTCTTGGCCTTCGCTTCATTTATCCTGTTTTTGCAATCCCTTTTCTTGAGTATTCAACTTCATCGAAAACGTCATCAGCAGCTATTGATAGAGGTATTTTTATTAACTCTTACTCTTTAAAACAAAATTATTCAAGTATAATAAGCAATATCTTGTTTTACTCTTTGAACGTAATAGATTTATGCCAAGTACAAATATGTTTTCGCATCTTTCCTAATCCAGCTATTATTATTTTATATCTTATCTCATCTATACGCTTTCTATCTCCTCACATATTTCAACTTCGTCTTATGTTCCCCCTCACCGTTATTCATACCACGTTCCATATAGTTAATCTTTTGATTCTACTTTTCTCGTATCTTTTTAACCGTTACTCCTTCTATTCTTTTTACCTGATGAAGTGTTATGCTTGAAAGGTCGTCCTGATATTTTATTCATGTACAAAGTAGTTGTTTATTTGTATTAATTATTACATATTTATTTCCCTGCTTTGCCGATCAACCAGCGATTTGCTGACTGTTTAAAAAACAAGTGCCCATTTGTCGGATGGAATGATGCTATTGAGGTTTAAGGGATCGGTAGAATATGCAACATGGAAAAGATAAAAAAGGCCCAGAGACCGGAATCACAAGTGGTATGATGGGCAGAGCACAGGATGACATCATATCCCAAAATACTTTCCCTGTCTATTACTGGCAGAAGACAAAAGCTAGTATCACAGTGTGCTAGTGCTCCCACTTCTCCTTCTTCTGATTTGGTCAAGAATATCGTTTCTGTTCACATAAGGTTTTTTTGAATGAATGTAGGAGCTTAGCATGGCCGTGTAAATACCTTTCGTGAAAGCTACTGGCCCAGTGGCGGATTTAAAGGGGGGGGGGGGCAACTAGAGACAGTTGCCCCTCCCTCAACGAGTTGAAGCAAATCTGGCGCCCCTTTTTTGGAAATTGTGCGCCCCTTTTGAAGAATGAGAATCAGATGAAAAAGGTTCTTGGACCGAAAGGTTAATTTGATTCCTCAAAGATAACCTCAAAGTTATGTTGTTTATTCTTAAAGGTATCTGAAATTGTTGTATACAGCGTACTCTCGTAACCAATTTTTGAAAATTTTTCAGCGACAACCCCCTCCCCCCCTACCAACTGCCCCTCCTTCAAATCTGCTCTGGATCCGCTCCTGTACTGGCCAAGGATTATCAAAAACAGTTACGAAAATTTATACTTGTTACAACAGAATGATTCCCTGATAGGAAGAGTGTTACACAGGTGCGAAGTGTGCCATTAGAATGAGGGTAATCATGTGCTATGAAGTATTCTTTTATACCACCACCAACCCGTTCCTCCCCCTTTTCAATACATTGGTCTCATTTTTGGTCTAATTTGCCGTTCTATATGTACATAAATCTGAATTTCAGCTAAAAGATTGTTTGAATCCATGAGCAAAATTCTCGTACAGAGAGCTGAGGGGGACCAACCACGGTTGCTTGATGGCTCTGAAGTTGAATTCTATCATAACGGTAATGTACTTTGGTGTTATCAGTCCTTATCTGCAAGCCGTTTTTTCATGATGTCGAACGAGGTATACCAGGTATACCGTGATTTGATACCATGAAAACTCTTCCCTTGGTAGAACAGTCCGGCAGGATACTATAATTAAAAGAAAAGTTATTTACGACGATTCTCTAATACCTCTCACATTCCTTTTTGCTCTTTTCTCGTGTGCAATTTTAGTTACTTCACTTGCAATGGCCTTTACCTATTTTATTTAATTGAGTCTTGCTAGATTGTCGCCAGTGACATTATTTCTTAGGTTTTTTAGATCATTAATGTTGAGGGTGATATCTGGTTGAAGAGTTTCTTTCTCGAATTCCTCAGAGTTCAGAGCAAAGAAGAAGGCATTATCACATCAGACTGCGCACGGAGCTTCTGTGCCTCAACCAGCTCATGGACAGCTTCAGCAACAACACCATGGCAGCGCAAGCAGCAAAGGCACTGGTGGAGAAAATTCAGTGAGATGCTCGGATGGCTCAACATATCAAGGTTTGTGGGCTATTTTTATATTGCTTGCTGTTTTAATGCAAACTGTGATGAAAAATAGGTGGTAATACTCTTCGACTAACAATATAAAAAAACGTTTTCCTAGTAAAACGAATTGAAAACTCTCTTTTTAATTAAAATACTCATAAATCACAAGTTTTTTATTTATATATTTCAAGTTCGATAAGTTTAGATACTCAGAGATATCAGTGTCACTTATTTTTCACGTTACTGTTAATAAATATTTGTAGCATAAAGCATATTTTGCTCATAGGAAGCCATATGAAAATCAAAACGTGTCCCCTTTAACCCGCATATTTTTGCATATAATTTTTCATCTTGAGTGGTCAAGCTTCAATTACGTGTGGTCTCGTTGTTGTTTTCTTTGTTTTACCTGTTTCATCTTTTATAGCTCGATCGAGTCTTTTTTAAAGACCAGTGGTAAGAGCTGTAGGCCATGAGCGCTCAGTTTCACTGTTCCTTTTCAGATTCAAATGAAAAAGGTGACGAATGCGTTGTTTGCAACGAGAATTCAATCAACGCCATATTGTTTCCTTGCCGACATATGTGGCTCTGCTTTCCTTGTGCTCAACGTCTCAAAGCCCTTGAAAAACCATGTCCTGCTTGTAGAGCAACGATTGGTGATGTGGTATCAGTATTTAAGCCATAGATATTTGTTAAACTACATAGTATTTTTTGCGATATATTCTATAAGTTATATAGCCTTATTATATTTTAATGATACAGGGGATTATTTGTAAGTATCCGAAGTACCATCGATTCATGTTTCCCCCTTTGTGGAGCTTTTAACCAAATTTCCTATTCAAAACGTGGAGATCTCTGTGAAACTTCTCTCTCTAGAGACTAAAGTGTTTAGGAGAAAATAGCATCTGACCCCAAGCTTGATCTCCAACTTGTACTGCAGGGAAGGCAATTATCCATACAGATAACAGTAACTCACTTTCCTAAGTTCAATGCCACTTAATCTCCATGTCTGTTGCATTACCGCTAAACAGTTTCAGTTTTATATTTTAAAATTCCTCAACATACAATATCTTGCTATTCATTACATGAAAATTCGTATAATATTACAGGCAATAAATAACAATCACGTAAGACGTTGTTTGCAGGGAAATTTCTTTAGGAGGAGCTCTTTCAGTAGATCGAGTGGAGAAGAGAGCTCCCCTGTACCTGAATTTGGATTGTACTTGACATAACCTGAGTTTGGTAACTTTATATTTCTTAGTCGATATACTTCTTGGATTTATTTTTTATATGGCTGCTTTTTAAGTTAAAAAGGTTAATATATATATTTTAGATTCTTAACTTTTGGAATTAGACTATATAGTATGAAATGATAAAGACATTAGGGATTTTTCTGCGACAAGGATGTTTGACGGAGTAGTCAAAATGATCTTCATTACCATAAGGTACCGTCTATTAAAGTGTTTTTTGCAATCAAAAGTTTGTAGCCAAAGATATAGCTGGCAGATTTCAGTACTTCCCATACATATCTACTTTTTGTAAATGCATGAACTTTGTTGTGTAGAGAACTGAATAAAGTAAGTATTTGATACTCTCAAGGAAGCATTTATAAATTAAAATGTCTTTATATAGTTGTGATTTCTTGTGACTTTTTCGTTGGACTGGGTACTTTGCCATTGGAACCCTCGCCCAAACAGGAGCTTTGATATTGAGAGTTTGATATATGTAAATAGAAAGAGTTCCAATTCGATGACAATAGAAAGGTCTGTTTTTACAATTTTTGAATTTGGCTCGCATTCCCTGATAGCAGTATTATGAAGTATCTCTAAATTTGCAAAATCAGTTAATTGTATCATAAATTGGCTGATTTATAGCAAAATTTTCACAGGCCTTTCGCAGGAAATCGTTATAATCATTTGTGGTATAGTTCAAATTGTTGTGCCCATTCACTTTTGTATCCGTCCTGTGGCCTTTTCTATAAGGATTCCGTTGAAACTTTGAAAAAGACTCGTTGCCCATTCGCATTGAGAGAATAAGCATCGATGCCTAGAAGGGCATTGAAGGCATTTCCCTGTTATTCTGAACCTAATTGTCATGCGGAACTTCATCGCCACTTACGGACAGTACTGAAATAGCAGTAAGTAACTTAATATGGTTTCAGTGGACTTTATTTAACTATCTACTCGACATGCATATATAAATAGAAAAATAAGCCCTGCAGCCAAAATCTGACAAATTTCAAGTTGCTCTTCATGAAAACTCATCATCAGTTAAAAAATGAATGTATTGTTACCTTTGATTTGATTTGACGACCTTCAAACCAAGCTTTTTCTTTTCGGTTGTGTGATGCCGGAATCTGAAACCGTAAAACAAGTCCATGCCACTGCATTCATATTGCCAACGGATAAGATAAGGTACAGATTGTACAGCAATGCACCGACTGAGAAGCCTACTGAGTGAAATTCAAGATGCACCATTGAAAATACAAGAGGCCTTAGGCCAGGCCTGTAGTTATAATTCATAACTCTTCAGGCATAACTCTTTATCAAAGAGCCGTCAAAGCATTTGCGAGTTGATGCTGTCCCACGGAGAATTGTTCCTTGCTTTTTACGCTAGCTTGAATCTTACATGTTTCGGCATGTCTTTGACCCTGCTTGCACTGCATACCACAATTGAATTCAACACTCCCTTGATGCTTTTCTCCGACGCTATATTATTTTGCGCTTCGTTCTTTTATCATTTGCTTGGTCCATAACTACGAGGTATCTCGAAAAAAGATATTGGTCGTGAAAAAACTTTTAAACAAAAGGGATTCTGCGTAAGTCGGGGAAGTAGATACCAGCAGTGACAATGTTATGTATGAAAATGTTGGGCTATTCAATGAAAAGTCATATGATATTATGTATTACAACGTTGCTGATGACAATGTAACACTAGATGATATTATGCGTGACAACATTCTGCATGATAATACAATGCAAGATGATATTATGTATAAAAATGTTGGGTTATTCAATGAAAAGTCATATGGTACTATGTATTACGGCATTGCGTATGACAATGTAACACTAGATGATATTATGCGTGACAACATTCTGCATGATAATTCAATGCAAGATGATTTTATGTATAAAAATGTTAGGTTATTCAATGAAAAGTCATATGGTACTATGTATTACGGCGTTGCTGATGACAATGTAACGCTAGATGATATTATGCGTGACAACATTCTGCATGATAATACAATGCAAGATGATATTATGTATAAAAATGTTGGGTTATTCAATGAAAAGTCATATGGTACTATGTATTACGGCATTGCGTATGACAATGTAACACTAGATGATATTATGCGTGACAACATTCTGCATGATAATTCAATGCAAGATGATTTTATGTATAAAAATGTTAGGTTATTCAATGAAAAGTCATATGGTACTATGTATTACGGCGTTGCTGATGACAATGTAACGCTAGATGATATTATGCGTGACAACATTCTGCATGATAAT